TAGTGGTGGTGGTAGACATTTTGGTGGTTTGAGCTCTTGTGTCTTTGTTTGGAGTGTGCTTGGTGGTGTTGGTTGTGGTGGGATTTGGGATTTGGGTGAAGGGGGCATGTATATACCTTTCATTCTGGAGATGCATGCTGGAGAGGCTTGACTGCACCGATCTGCGCCGAGGTTAGGGCTCGGAGGGCCCCGAGACCCCCCCCGTTCGGCCCCTCTTCGGGAGTGGGGATGCTTCGGGAGAGGATGAGGGCGCCGAGGTCAGCGGACGCGGGACACGGACTTGTAGTCGACACATACCTACACCTACACTTGGGAATTCCCCGTCAAGGTAGACGGTCATCGCATAAGTGCTTTCATTCTCATTCTCAATCAGTACTCCCAGAATCCTAACTATCTGACAAATTGACAAAATGGAGCCCTTCAAAATCATTATCGTCGGCGGCGGTATCGCCGGCCTAGCAGCTGTACGTCCCCCGTTGTTCTAACCCTACTCCTTCACCTCAACCATCCTCACCCTCCCTTCCCCTCCTTGTACCCTTCTGTATTATGTGTTTTCTAACGCAAGCAGGCCATCGCCCTCCGCGCCCCGCGCCGCGAAATCCTGATCCTGGAACAATCCCCCCTGCACCGCGAAATCGGCGCCACCATCTCGCTCCAGCCCAACGCCTCGCGGATCGTCGAGTCGCAATGGGGTCTGGCCGCCGCCCTCCGCGCCCGCGGCGCCATGGTCGACTCCGCCTTTGAGGTCTACGACCTCTCCGGCCAGCTGCAGACGCGGGTCCCGCTGCGCACGCGCGACAAGTACGGCGCCGAGCGCATGATCTACCACCGCGCGGACCTGCACGACGCCCTCAAGCAGCGCGCTACCGATAGTGACCACCCAGGTCCGGGGGTGCAGATCCGGACGGGTTGTCGGGTGCGGGCGGTGGATTGTGAGCGCGGGACGGTGCAATTGGAGAACGGGGAGGTGGTCGGGGCGCATTTGGTGGTCGGGGCGGATGGGATCAAGAGTTTGGTGAGGCGGGCCGTTCTGGCTGAGGATGCGCAAGAGGGAGAAGGGGAGGGGGAGGGGGAGGCGCGGCCGACGGGGCTTTGTGCGTATCGCATGATGATTCCCACGGAGTTGCTGCTGCGGGAGCAAGCCTTTGCGGCGGTGGTGGACCCCCGCGAACCGAAAACGACGATGGTGGTTGGTGGTGACCGGCGGTTGGTCATGGGCCCGGCGCGTGAGGGGTCCATCTACGGCGTTGTGGCGCTCGTGCCGGATGAGCGTATGCATGAATCTTCCCGGGATACCAGCTGGACGACCGAGGGGGATCGCGGCAAGATGCTGCAGACCTTCGGGGATTTCCCGGCGTGGGCGCAGACGCCCCTCCGGCTGGCAGAGGAGGTCGGGCTGTGGCAGCTCAGGGATCTGGATCCGTTGCGCACGTGGTGCAAGGGACGGGTCATTTTGATTGGCGATGCGGCCCATGCGATGCTGCCGACACAGGGCCAGGGTGCGAGTCAGGCTGTTGAGGATGCCGAGGCGCTGGGCGCGTTTTTTGAAGGGTTCGAGGAGGCGGGTAGTGGGGAGGAGGTGGGCAGGGTGCTTCAGAAGGTGTTTGAGTGTCGGTTTGAGCGCGCCTCCACGATCCAGACGTATAGTCGGCAGGTCGCCAGGCCGGCGACGGACGCTGACTCGATCCGCGTGGCGATGAATCCGGCCGAGTTCATGGACTATAATTGCTCGTATCGGGGGGCGGCGGAGTGGAGTCGGAGGCAGACTGAGAGGAAGGCGGTTGAGTGCCGATGATGGCGGTGGACTAGAGGTATGCTATGTCTAAGTGGTGGTTTAGTCCTGAATCTATCTCGACTTCAATAATGACTGTAGTCCATTGTTGATATGCACTAGAGGAACGTAACATGTATTATGTCAAGTTGGTTCAGGGCCGCGAGACGTGAAACACTTTTCACCTAGATCACTGACCACTCATTCAGACCCCTCAACCTTGGTCTCGGCATCATTGCTAGTTGTATCATTCTCAGTGTCACCATCCTTGGCCGGAGCTTCGTCCCCTTGTGAGCTGGGATTTCTCGCCGGCTGCGGCGCCGCGCCTGCTCCCCCATTCCCCCCAGCAGCAGCAGCCTTGCTCTCCGCCGCCCGCCGGGTTTTGGCGCCCTCTTTCAGCTTCTCCCACCGTTCTCGGTACCGCCCCAGTACGTCGCGCAGCTTCTCATTCTCTCGGCCTATTTGACTCATCTCCTTCTCACTGCGTCGAATGGCCTCCTCCAGCTCTTTGATGCGTTGGTCCTGTTCAACCGCGGGCAAGGCCGAGTCTCCTACCGGTGACATAGCAACCGACGAGCCGGGAGCGGGCTGGTCCGGCGAATGTGTGTGTGGGTGATGCATTGCCTTCAGCGACTGCTGCAAAGCCATCGACGACGACTGCGCATTGACCTCCCACATGTGCAACCGCTTGGACAGCGTGTCCGACAGCTGTCTCAACGCTTGGTTTTCCATCTGCAGCTCCTCCATGGTCTTCGGGTTCTGGAGGCTGTTGAACTTGTCGTTCCCTCGTCCGGATCGGCTGTTGCCCTGAATTCCCGACAAGCTCTGGCGGAGTTCGGGCGAGGACGGGGTCTCTCGCGCGTCCACAAAATCTTCATCCCCTTCATCGATGCTGTTTCTACGGGCTTCCTTCTCCGCTCGAGTGAGAATCCCCGCGTACGAAACGGTCCCACCAGTCGTGGGCACCACGTAGAATGACTCCGCGGGATTTCCCGTAGTCCCCCCGCCGGTCGTGTCGCGGATCGCCTGCAGGGCAGCCTTGGAGAAGATCTTGTTGATATCTGGGTCCGCAGAGTGGTGAGAGCGGTCGGACATGGCGTTGTATCGGTCAGTCCGGGTATCGGCGGCGGACTTGCGGTGGGCGGCTGATTCCGATGCCTCGGAGCCAAGCGGCAGGCCCGCAAACGCAAGGGGGGCCGAGATTTTGGAGATCAAACCCTCGAACGTAGAATAAAATTTCTGAAATGGTTCTTCGGTCACAGAGGACCGGCTCTTCTGCGGGCCGGACTCGGAAGGATTAGGCGGCGCAAACTGCTGCGAGGTGATATCGGTGGGACTGGCCAGGGGCGGAGTCCGCGGCTGTTTCGATGTTGATGAACGACTGCCCCGTTCCTTCATTCCATTAGCCTGCATCCCGCGTAGTCTCGACTCGCTCGTCCGAATCTTGGCCGGGCCATCGGTCATCTTCGCCCCCGCTTGCTGGGACGTGAGGGTAGGGGAGGCCGGAGACGAGCGACGGGGCTGTGACGGGATGCCACGGGCCGACGCCAGGTTGCTGACAATCGAAGATGACTCCCTTGAAGGTAGCCGCGGGTGTCCTGACAGTCGGGGAGGCTGCTGCTGTGCATCGGCTCCCACCGCCAAATTCCTGGTGGTGCCCGCTTCCGCGGACACAGCCTGGGGATTCCCTCCAGTCGAGGCAGGGTTAGAAGGGTTCTCATGCTGAAAGCGGAGAATCTGCGCGAGTTTCTTGTGGTGTTGTTCCAGCAGATGGAGGGTTCGAAGAGCCTATGCAGGAATCAGAGTAAGTCCAACCCCCCTACGTAGGGACAACTCTACGCAAACGCACCTCACGGTCCGAGCTGTGCTGGGCTGCAGTTGCAAATTCGCCTGCGGCAAGATCATGTTCCTCGCTTGCTGCCACAGGATTCGACTTGCGAGTCTCGAGGACTGCGTTGCGAGCGTGTGTATGAGCCTGGATCCGAGCGAAACGTCGGTCAGGCTAGGCTCTTTCCGAGGCTGAGTTGGCATGGAGGAGTAAACCAAGGGGGACTTACCAGAGTAAGAGGAGCGGACTCCATGGCTGTAGATTGTGTAGGGGACCTTGCGACCTGATCGATCAGTCGAATATCATTGGCCAGGAACTAATAGCCTGATGATTCAAGGCACCGAGAAAACTTATGGAAGGTTTATTGAGGGACTGATAAGAGCAGATTGAGGAGATATCCGGGAGTGTTGGAGTGACGCCATGATTATCGACGAGGGGAAGATGGGAAGATTCACCGCAACGGCTGAATGTGACGGTAACATTACCCGCTTTAGGAGGTGAGCTCGACTGTGGCTCTCTGTTCACCTCCCATTCCGGTAGAGCAGAAGAGACAGGTCCCGTATGTTAGTGACAGAGCGGTGTATTGTACAGTACGCAGTCCTCCGTAAGTTATTTATTCACTGCTATTCGAAAATTCCCGACAGGAGATTTTATAGATTTAATCAGGAATTAATTCCTCCGTAGATAGGGGTCTAGAAGTCTTCTTAGAAAGAGCTCCGACCGTCTCAGGCTAACAATAGACTCCAAAAGTCTCAAATTATTTCCGGCTACACCGAAAGTGTCAAATCGTTGGTTTGTCGATCGGGGGGGGCTCCACTACAGCTTAAGATAGATCGTATTCGTACTGTTTGGTTTGGTTTGTGGAGAGGCGGCTAGAAGCATTCATTCTATCAATGTGTTGGCCTCAACCTTAAGGCTGAACCTCTACTCTCTCTTTCGCTTCCTCCTGTTGCTGCTACTCGTCGTCATTGCCGCCTCCATCTCTTCCGCACTTCTTCCCCCCCCCCCCTCTTCCCCCCAATCCACATCTTCCCCTGATCCGGTCCTCAATTCCACCTCCCCCTCTTTTCACGTCGCTTCCCTCTCTTGGGTTACATTTCTTCAAATCTCTTGAAGAACCCCATATCCTGACCCCAAGAAGGACAGTTCATTGTTGCGGTTCTGCGAACCTCTCCAGCGACTTCGTCTTTCCGTTTCCCCTCATCTTCCCCTTCAGTGATCTTCGCCTTCGATTTTTTACTGTTGCGACAATTGGTTAGAGAGATAGACCGGTTCTACACTCTATCATGCTTCTTTCAATGTTCATAGTTTGATCCAGTCCCTTCAGTACCCTTGTGTCCTCCTGTACATCAAAAAACCACCTTCCCCCTTTCCGCTTACGCCCTCATACTTCCTACCGCCATGGACGAATCTCTCCTCTCCGACCCCGTTCCGCCCCCCTCGTCCGACCTCCGAAGTCTGAGCTCTTCCGGTCGCACCAAGACGACTCCCGTAGATCTAGAGACCATGGCAAGCTCCGGTCGCAGCAATGGCCGCTCCTCGTCCATCGACTCCAGCTCCGACAGACCGAAATCACAGTCCGGCGATGCGGACTCCGCCAAGGCAGGCTCCAGCGGATTCTCCAAGCTACTAGCCGCGCGTCGCAACAAGAAAAAGAGGAAGGACACCCAGAAGCAACCAGACGAACTGCCAACTCAGTATGAGTTGGAGGATGACCAGCACATACAGGGCAGTCGCTCAAACGAACCGTGGAATGGGAATCCGTCTTTGATCAACGACCTGCCCCCCCCTCCGGACAACGACGCTATCAACCTCCTCACCGATGACTCCGAACCTGACCGGTGAGTTAGCCGACTCGCAAACTAATGAAACCTGGACTGACTGACCGTCCTTTTCTTAGCACGCCACCACTCACCTCGCATAACTCCCATAGTGGCTTCTATACCTCGTCCTCTCCTTTGATCAAAACAACCTCCGTGGAAGCAACCGATGATGGTGCTCAGGGAGACCTCGAGTCGGTCGTCAGTGGTCCGAGTGCCGGTCCAGAGTCGATTCCAGACTCGGAACGCTCAAGGCCCACGAGCCAACACGGTCATACCCTAAGTGTACCTTCATCTGGAAAGAAGAGGGGCACCTCTCCCGGTCGACGATTCAAGAATCCTTTCACGTCGAACGCGGAGAAGAAGCCCAATCGAGATCGAACCAACTCAACATCCGCAGAAAGCACGAAAAGCACGAAAAGCACGAAAAGCAGAAGTGGTAGTGTGTCGGCAAAAAAAGGCCCCTGTCATAGTTGAAGACGAGCCTGTTCCCAGGATCCCGGCCCCGATTCTGACGGACTTGAAGGAGGACAAACCGCTCTCCTTGGAGGCTCCTGCTCCAAGGACGCCCCCCCACACAGCGATCCCGCAACCCTCGACCACGGTAACCCCTCCGACTCCGCGGACAACAGAATTCCCCAAGTTCTTCGCCTCTCCGGAGGTGGCGGCCTCGCCAGACTCGATGCACTCGAAGGACGGTGTCGTAGTCAGCCCGTCTGGCAATATGATCTCCCATCGGCGCGTGCGGTCCGCCTCCGCTGCCAGCCACAAACCGAGCAAGTTGTCGAATTCTATATCTGCCATGGGACCCACCGCAGAGGAGACAAACGCGACATCGAAACCTCCCCCGAGTGCCCAGCAGTCAAGCTTCTTTTCATCGGTCTTTTCTGCCGCACAGAATGCCGCATCGTCCCTCAGCAGCAGTCTCAATGCGCAATCGAAAGGTCGCAGCGTCAGTCAGGCAGGGGCGGGAGAGCACGACAATCGTGCTACCGCTGAGAAACAGGAAAGTTCAACTCAGGCGGTGGAAAGCAGAAAGTCAGACGAGAAGAAGCCCATGGCTGTTGATACCCTGGGATCGGGTAACCTGGATTTTAGCCACTTGGACATAGCAATCCCTCCTGGTGGATCAGTCTCGACTCCAGACGGGGTGGTCATTACCAAGCCTGAGCTACCATCAGATCGGCGCAAAGGCCCTGGCGTTCTGCAGCGTGATGAAGAAGCTGCTAGACTGGAAGATAGCCGTGCTGCTCGAGCAGTCACCATGGCCTACGAGCAACCGGCCGCCACCTCTCTCGCCCCGCCCATGGATGACGGCGTTGATGGCAATTCCAGCACATCGCTCACTAGGGAAGGAACTGGGAACCAGACGACGCCCAGCGGCAGCGTCGTGGAGGGCGAGTTGGGAGGTACCCGGCCATATCGAAGCGGTAGCATCCGAAGCCGGATGGCCCGGCGGAGAAATCGTGGCTCATCTGAAGCCACCACATCGACTATTGGCGCGATTGGTGCCAGCGCAATAGCCCTAGGAGCCCCTGGGGCTAATGCCAGTGTGCCACGGCTCACCGGATTCGCTGTTGCCAGCAAAAAGCGTAACCGGGACTTCCATCAATTGTTCCGCAGTGTCCCCGAAGATGACTACTTGATTGAGGATTATAGCTGCGCTTTGCAGCGAGAGATCATTCTGGCTGGTCGCATCTACATCTCTGAGGGGCATATCTGCTTCTCCAGCAACATTCTGGGATGGGTGACAACCCTCGTTATCAGCTTCGATGAGGTTGTGGCGATTGAGAAGGAGTCAACCGCGATGGTCTTTCCAAATGCGATTGCGATCCAGACTCTTCATGCGCGACACACCTTCCGTAGTCTTCTGAGTCGAGAGTCCACATATGATCTTATGGTCAACATCTGGAAGATCAACCATCCTGCCCTCAAGAGCTCAGCAAATGGAACCAGGGTCACCGACGGCACTGGAGACAAGACGGAGAAGGCTGCTGAAAGCGATGTGGAAAGTGACGACGAAGATGAGATTTATGATGAGGATGAGGAAGGCGACAATGCCGACAGCATCTTCGAAGGAGCCACCAGTGTTCATGGCAGCGAGAAGTCTGTCCCCTCGAAGACAATCAGTCGCCAAGCCTCAGGTCTCCTCCAAGGTGCCAATAATGGACAGTCGGCTTCGAACGGTGAGGCCAAAGGTAGCAAAGCGAGCTCCCCCAGCGACGGTGATACGGATTTCCCTGGACCCGCTACCCACGCGCCTACCGAGTTCACTGATCCTTCGGGTCAGTACGATAAGGTGATCAAGGACGAAATCATCCCTGCTCCTCTAGGCAAAGTATACTCCTACATCTTCGGCCCCGCATCAGGCGCATTTGTACCCAAATTTCTGGTCGAGAATCAGAAGTCTGGCGAGCTTCAGTTTGAGAGCGGTAACAAAGGTCTCACCAACGAGAGTAAAACCCGGAAATACTCGTATATCAAGCCACTAAATGGATCCATTGGGCCCAAGCAGACCAAGTGTATCAGCACAGAGAGCTTGGACTTTTTGGATCTGGAGAAAGCAGTGCTGGTCACTTTGAGTACCCAAACGCCCGATGTTCCAAGCGGTAATGTCTTCTGTACGAAGACCAAATACCTTTTCACTTGGGCGGCGAACAACCAAACCCGGTTCCTGATGACCTGTACTATCGAGTGGTCCGGAAAAAGCTGGCTGAAAGGTATGTTCTCTGAAGTGGCCTGAGACGGTAGCAGGTATGCTGATCGTGACTAGGTCCCATTGAAAAGGGTGCCATTGATGGCCAAACCTCATTCGGAACTGAGCTTGTGAACGCTCTCAAGGCTGCAGTTGCACCTCGTGGTCGCGCCGGCGGTGCCAAGTCCGGTAAAGGCAAAGGCCGCCGCAAGAGAAGTGCGTCCGCTCAAGAAGACTCTGCATCAGAGACAAAGGCAGCAGAGAAGGCAGCTGCTGAGAAAGCAACATCGTGGGGACCTCTGGAACCGCTACATGGGATCCTGGGACCTGTATCGGACATGATCACGCCTTTGCTGAGCGGAAATGTAACCCTCGTGATCATCGGCATTCTTCTCTTTATGCTCTTCTTCCGAAGCCCTTCTCAGTCGTCGACGATGTCTCACGACATTGGGTGTCCGGGCTATTCCTTGCCTCAGCGTCTCGCTGCCTACGAAGAGATGTGGCGCCGAGAGGAAAGTGAGCTCTGGAGCTGGCTGGAAGATCGAGTTGGCATGGATGGTCTGGCCTTTCCGACGGTCAGCCAGCCGTCCGGTTCGCGGACGCACCATCTGTCGAGAAAGATGCAAGGTGAGCGTGCGCTCGCCGGCAGAGTGAATGAAGAGAAAATGTCTGATCTCGAGATGGACCATGCCATTCGGTCCACACGCGAGCGGCTCGACACGCTGGAGAAGATTCTTTCTAGCCGACGATCCGACACAAAGCCAGTGGAGCAAGAACCTCTCCACGGGGAGTTGTAAATAAAGTCTGGTTCTCCCTCAGACAAAAGCGACAATTACACTATGTGACTCTGTACAGAGCCAGTCCTTGCTTGGCTGGTAGTTGGACCCAGTCTCTCGTGACTTTTCTTATCTTCCATGTTTGTTCAGCGAGTTCTCTGTGTGGTCGGCACACTTGATTTGAATTTCTGATTTTGAGTTGAATCCAGCAGTTGTCCTCTGAGCATCATCAATCTGGGATTTGCATGTTTTATGCCTATTGAGGCAGATTATCTGTTTGATTCTTATCATTTTTTACAGATACTTCCTGGTCTATCGTTGAAAGCTTTGTCTCCGCTCTGATAATCAGTGTCGAGCGTGAGTATTTCTTTTTGTTGTACATGAACTCAACCCTCACTCGTTCCTTCATTATATGTCTATGCAGAGGCGGATACTAGGCTAGACCCCAGCAGCAGCTGGACTCATTTCCAATTTTACACTCTACTCAGTCGCTACCTCATACATGGAAATCTTGACGTCTGCAATAATAATAATGATGATAATAATTTAGTCGAACCCTCAACCGAGGCAAGGTAAGAAAAGCTAAGAACCCTCCCTATAATCCGCTATATGCCACCCGGTTCTACATCACCCGCCTCTATCCCGAACTCCGCTTCATCCCTCAAATGTTCTAGGGACTGGGCAAAATCAGTACCACCCCATCCGCGTCGTCCGCGCATCATGCACCCCGTACAGCTTCAGATCCAGACACCGGTCACACAGCCCCACGTTGTCCCGCTCCCACTTGGACAGCACCATGGGCAGATCCTTGGCGGGCTGGCACGGCTCGCGCTGCGGCTTCGGCCGCGCCTGGGCCGCCGCGCACCACTGGATGTCCGTCCGGTACAGGTGATTGCACCCTGCGTAGTGGCTGTAGACTTGCTCGCACATTTTGTGTTGGCCTTCCTTGCGGGAATACTTGGGTATGGGGTCTGTGATTCGGGGGTTGGGTGGTTGGTGGGGTTAGTTGGTTGGCTGGTGATTTCGTCGGTTGGGGATGGGATGGGATGGGTTGGGTTTGCGTAGCAAGGAGGGTTGAGACAGCTCATGTGAGTAAGTCGGGTGGGTTAATATATCCGTCCAGGATAGGGGATTCTCTTCTTCTTCTTCTTCTTCTTCTTCTTCTTCTTCTTCTTCTTCTTCTTCTTCTTCTTCTTCTTCTTCTTCTTCTTCTTCTTCTTCTTCTTCTTCTTGGGTCCTTTGTTGGCGCTGTCTGGGGTTGGCGCGCTTATGCTTAAATTGGTCGGTCTTTTGGGTGGGTTTGATAGGGTCAACTACGGTGGGCTGCGTCTGCCTTTGTATATGATGGGGAGTTCCGGGATTTTCTTTGCTGATGGCGATGGTGGTGGGTGGGGCTTTGTGGGGGAGGGGAGTTTGGCTTGGTTCTTTTGTGTCGTTGTTTGAGGTAGTGCGTTGTATGGGAATGGGAATGGTGCACATATGTGCATTAAGAAGGAAGTGGATGGGCGGTATTGGTTTTGGGTTTGAGCTGGCGTCTTTATTGTGGGTTCTGTTGTTTGCGTGGGATGGAACTAACTGCAGGGCTTAAGGGTGGTTGCGTTTCATCACCGAAGGGGAAGGACTGTTTGGGTTCGGAATTGGAGACCTCAGTTCCTATGCTGGAATCTACATCTACGAAGAAAAGAAACAGAGAACGATAGGAGAAGAAAATGACATGTTCTTGGTATCAAATGCCTAGGGCGAGTAAATCAGAATAAACTAGTCTTGAAACAGCGAACGGGATATAAATATATATATGCCATTGATCAACCAAAGTGATATCATCAAAAGCAAGATATTGACAAGCAAATAGCAGAAAAGCAAACAGCGAGCGCCTGATAAAAAGCCACGACTCATCTAGGAAGTGTATTTTCAGCATACCATTGTTGTGGATTTTCAGGGTCGCTGAAATGAATAAGTTCTTGTGGAAAAATTATAACGGAGGACGTGCCGTTGGGCTAGGTTTGTGATTCGTAGTTGTCCAGCGAAGTATAGGTCTGGGGATGTCGTGGCTTCGTAGAGATAGCGTGCATTATCCCTCGCGTGAGGAGCAATTATCATATTGTAAACGGGCAGCGCAGATCAAGACAGCGTCGGGAACGGTTCCGTGTCTTCGGTCCGCGACGAAATGGAATGAGAACGAGTCAAAGGTGATTGATGCTCGGATTTGCTCTGTTCCTCCTTGCGTCTCTTCTTTCGCATCTTCTTCATCGCTTCTTGCGTGAGCTCCTGTCGGAAAAGGCGCTCAACCACGTCCTTCTTGCGTGTCCTCCGATCTCCGATCATAATCAGGACACCGCCGGAGATATTGCAACAGATCGAGCAGCAGAGGATGACAGTGGTCAACGCAAATGGGCGCACGTGGTAGCTGATGCCCCAAGTGCAGGCACCTAAAGCAATCTGGAACAGCGAGTGACAGTCTAGCAGGACCACAATAGCAATGAGCATGCGTAGCGGAAAGGCATGGTGGGTGAAGGTTTCGTGCGGTTTGTAGAAAGTGTGCGAATTGGCAAGCTTGGTTTGGTGGTGAATCAGTTTGGCCTGCTGCGCCGGTCCGAGCACGCTGAACTCGTGTTCTTCCTCCTTTGGAGTGTCGCCGAATTCAACGTCCACGTCCTCCTCTCGGCGTGAAGGCAAATCGTTCTTGTTCTTGAGATCGGGAAGTCGGCGCTTTCGACGGATCTTCCATGTCAGGAAGGTATAACGTGCGATGAAGATCATGTGATATGTGTCGATGGCGCGAAACGGAGCCAACCCATCACCCATGACGGCAAACAGGGCCACAAGAACATTGTCGATGACATTGATGAGATACGACTGCCGGCCTCCGACGTTGATCCAACCTTGTTGATCGGTCAGCATGTTTGGAGCGGAATGGGACGGGATACACACCGATCAAGAACAACACCCACGCCAGACCGAAAAGCGTAATCAACGTGGCGTATAATGTGACCAAGAATCCCAGCGCTATGAAGTTAATGCGTTAGTGACCCGCTCGTTCCGTAGCAATGGTCAGACATACGCTTAGAGACATATTTCCCGAAACCTTTCATGGCACGCTTGAACTTGGATCTCCGCGAGTGCAACATGTGCCGGACATGGTCGTTCAGTTCTTCAATCTCCTCGGGAGACCACCCGGCAAGATCGCTACCTTCGGGCAGGACAGCAAATCGAGGCCCGCCGCCTTCGTCAACCACAGAAGTGAGGGTGTGCTCGATGGAAGGACGGACGGCGGGCTCCTGGCCCTTTTCGTAGCCCTCATCTTCGCCCTCATCACTTGTCGACGATTCAAGGTTCCTTAGAGGTGCAGGCGGTGGTGAAAGGGTATAGGTCTGATTACGGTTCAAGAAAGGCCCCAAATTAGGAACGAAAAGTGAGTTCTGGACGTTGGTGAGGGTGGAAAGTGCCGACACTTCGGGATCTGCGGGATACTGATATCAGTGGGGCCTGCGGGGTTGAGTTGTGCGACAACGGCGACTTACCGATCACATCCAAGACATCCACAATATGAGACCGATATTCGTCGCCTGAGCCCGCCGTCTGAGCCGGTGCACTCCCACTCACGGTTGACGCGCGATTCCTGGTAAAGCGGTTTGCGGACACCCCACCCGACCAGCGCATGAAACCGCGGCTCCCCCGTCGTGGGATTTGCAGTGATTCAGGATTCTGCTGTGGCAACGGTGGTAGAGAATCAGCGGCTACTCCGGGACTCTGTGGAGAGGCTTCTTCGTGAAGAGTGTGCATCTGATCTCCTGTCGCGAACCGAGTGAGAAGAACCGGGTTGGGGGCAGTCGACCATCGTCCCGGTCGGGGCTCGGAGCTGCTGCGGCGACGGTTTCCCTGCCAGGCATCTTCATCTTCATCGTCCGCATCGGGCCCGGACGGTGTAAGATCGACCTGTGAGGCTAAAGGTCGATTGGGAGTCTGTGCATTGCGTTGAGATTGTTGTACACCAGAGCTGTCAAAGGAGGGGAGGCGCTGGAGTCTAATCGAGGGCCGTCGCGAGCGCAGCGAAGGCGCCCGTTGACGTGCCGGGTATGACGTCGGTGGGAGGTGGTCGGGTGGAGGAGAATTAGAGGCACCAGAGACAGGCTCAATAGAATCCATTGCAGGCCAACAGAGACCTGATGGTATGGGTCTAAACGACAGTAACTAAAGAAGATTCACCAAGCATGAAAGGGGATGGGGTGAGGATGTTCTGATGAGGGAGGCGAAAAAGAGAGAATAAGGAAGAGGAAAAGCAGGAAGACGACCGAAAAGACCTTCAGGTGTTGGAAGGGACCAAAGCTTAATTTATCCATTATCATTGGACCCGGCCCAGACCGCGGGTGGTGGCACAAACCAATTCCTACGCCGTTCGTCGTTCGTATACAATTTATTCCCAAGATGCAAGATGCAAGTCAGATCATTCATTCATTTAGTCATTTATTCATTTATTCATTCATTCATTCAGTCTTCCAACCTCTGCATGTTTCCCTGTGAATGTCCCAGACAATGACACTTTCAAATTAACGCTGTGCAGCCATGTGTAATAAACCTCCCTTTTTTCTAACCATCGTGATGGCATCTCAATCTGTATCCTTTGGTTTGTCTCGATCTCTCCCCCTCCTGCGTAAGCACTAGCAATTAAAGTTGCAAAACATCGCGGTGGCCATTCTTCCCCAGCCATATACATTCAGCCATAGTTGTTTCTTAATTCGACTTCGGATTCTGCTTCATTTCTGCTTCACTCAGCGTCACTAATATGGCAGGAAAGATCAAGGAAACTTTCTCCAAGACAGCGCAGGCTCCTCTGAGTCCAACTGACCGCGTTGAAGACACCTATTCGCCGTACACCGACCAGTTCTTTGCCGACATGGCCACCAAGATTGCAGTTACATTTCCATACGAGGAATTCGCAGCTTGTCATGGTTGCAGCCCGAGCCATCTCGCGGGGGCGATGAGTGCCCTAGTCCTCGCGCCTCTCTCGGATCCCACCTTCACACAGCATAGAGATCGCAACATAAGCATTGCACAATACGGGCAGCACATGATAGCTATGTGGAGCGCTCATTTTGAGCAAGTCTTGCTGACTACCTCGGGGAAAGCAAAGAAGCGGTCACGATTGAGGCCATCTGCTAGCACTGTCCCCTCTCCGCCTGGTTTCCCGCCCTTATCATCCGATGTACCTTCGCAATCTGCCAAGGATGTCACGGAGGGGAAGCCTACGAGCACCAGCGAAGACTCTGAAAGCCTACCTCATGACACGTCTGCTATCAAGTCGAGCTCGCCAGCAGGCCAGAAGGCTACCACCACAGGCGTGAAGCGTCAACACGATAAGTCAAGCGACATGAGCGAAGACACTCATGCAACCGTCCCAACCATGCCAACCTCATCCAATGATGATGATATACGTAGCTCGAAGCGTCGAAAGATCGACCCTTCCTCTGAGAAGTACCCGTCTCAGCAGGGGCCGGAGGACTTCATGGACGCTGTTGCTGTTGAGGCTGGCAGCACATCAACGACATCGCTTCCAGATCCCGTCGTTCGTCCATACGGAGATAGGGACGGGAACAGCAGTACATTGCCCGTGGCCGTTGAGGGGGGACAGGAAAATTGCTCACCTGGGACTAAGCGTACACCCAATGAGCAACGACGCGAGACAACCAGCAAAAAGCATGCCACACGCAATGCTCGCAGAAGACTTTCACCATTTGCGGAAGATGCGATAGACACGGCTGTCTTCAGCGAGCAGGGTCTGCAAGAGCGAATGAATGGTTCAGAAGTTGGTCTAGCAAATACGTCGTGACACAACTACATATCTGCCGAGTCTGTCAATACAGCCTCATCAGGCGAATTGGCGGCTCCCCAAATAGTCTAAAGCTGTGCTTGGCTATTGGTTGATTGCAGCGAGGATCCCCCGGGTTGGTCCCGAGAGCTTAATGGTATTTTAGTCCAGTTAATTCGTGCATAAAGCTCCTGGAATGCATCCATCAATGCGAAGCTGTCTCAAGTGACAGTCATACTAAGTAATTGGCGAGATCGGAGGAGGAGGGGTACTGAGGGGTAATGCGCAATCCGAGGAAGGTTCGCGATAGAGCGAGACTCCACCACGGGAAAGCAGGGCAGCCGGAAAGTCACAGTGGGACAGGTGAGGTAGTGGAGCGATCACGTCTGACTAATGGAAAGAATCAATGAATAGTCGGGAGGGGGAAGGAGTCAGATATCGCAATTGAAGTCTCAGTTATTCACTTGTCCATATAGAACAATAACACGTAGAAAATAGGAGGAGAGGAGAGGAGGGGAGGAGAGCATCCTTGATCAGAGGGAAGGAGGATTGCTCCTGCCTGAAGGTTGATGATGAGAAAGTGAGTCAAGCAAGAGGGTAGCAGTGATGTCAGACCGTCCACCGCCTAGACCGCCCGACCGGAAAGTCCACGTCGGGCGTCTATTTCGGGTTTAGTCCATTAGTCCCTTCAGGCATCAAAGACATTTTCAGGCATAATCAGGCATCATATTACCTCCTTGGGTTTAGTTCCGCCTCCTCCCTCGTCGCCTGCCCTTTTCTCTCACCTTCTCCTTGTCTCGCCGCCCTCCCACCCCCCCCCCCAGTCGACCTCATCCTTCCTCAAGACAAATCTTCTTCCTCTTCCACTACAACTCAATTTCACTTTCCCCCCCCCTCTCCCCGTCAACTTTCGTATCTAGGGCACCAAGCTACCCTTTTCCTTCCTCCTTCTTCTCTTCTCCATCTTCCCCCCTCTTCAAGTTAATTCCCACTTCCAATCCTCAAGCACAAGGCAGCCTCAAGCTCTCCTGAGTCCTTTGTTGCATCCTGACACACAGCTACACACATCCCCCGGTCAAGTCAATCCGCGCGCGCAACCCCCCACCTTACCACCTCAATCACCTATCTCGACCTTTTGTGTGTCCTCAGCCTTCAAGATGTCTACTGCCGTTGAAAACACCACCGACAACGTCGCCGCTACCCCCGCCGCCACCGCCCCGGAGGCTACTACCAACGGCACTGCTCCTGCTCCTGCCCAGTCTACGGACGCGGCCGCCGCCAGTGCCGATGAAGGACGTCGGTTGTACATTGGGAACCTCGCTTATGCGACCACTGAGGGGGAACTCAAGGAGTTCTTCCAGAACTACAAGATGTAAGTGTTGGTCCTTCCCTGATGCTCGCGCTACCGTCCACCTGGCCTCTTCTTTCCCTTGGTTTGAGCGGTGTCCAATCCACGGCCCACGAGTACCTGGGGATGATCGCGCACAATCAAAAATATGATCCCCCGTGCGCACATTGGGTTTCGTTTTGGCAGTGGTCGTCTCCGACTTTGTAGCCCCTTCAGTGGACACTTTGCCTTGGATGCTTCTGTTACCACCTTCTACCTGACCCGTCTTTACAGACAAATGGTCACTAGTTTACCGCAGTACTAATTAAATGTCATCATCTAGTGAGAGCGTCTCCATTCCTGTGAACCCCCGTACCAACCGTCCCGTTGGCTATGCCTTCGTGGACTTGGCCACCGCTCACGAGGCGACCGCTGCTATTGAGGAGCTATCTGGAAAGGAGATCCTTCAGCGCAAGGTCTCCGTGCAGCTCGCCCGCAAGCCTGAGCCTGCCGAGGCCAAGGCTGAGGGTGCCGCAAGTGGCGGTGAGGGCGCCAGCGGTGCTGAAGGTCGCAAGAGATCCGGTGGTCGTGCCCGTGGCCGTGGCCGTGGCCGCGGTCGTGGTGGCCGCCTGCCCCGCGGAGGACGCTCGGTAGGTTCTATCTGCAGCTTTTCGTGATATTGCTGTACTCTTTAAGCTAATACTTACTCTCGGTTTCCAGCCCCCGGCCCAAGCTGAGCAGGCCCCTACGGAGCCCACCAACGTCCCTGATCAGGTCGTCCCCTTGACTGAGGTCACCAACCAGAACGAGACCGTTGCCGCTCCTGAGGCTGGCAAGCAGGCCGGCAAGCCCCGTGCTCCCCGTGCTCAGAAGCAGCGCGGCCCTCCTGAGGATGGAATCCCTTCCAAGACCAAGGTTATGGTGGCCAACCTCCCCTATGACCTGAGCGAGGACAAGGTATGATCTAGTCGACTTATACTGGCATTGCATGACTAACCCATTTATAGCTCAAGGAGATCTTCGCCGACTACCAGCCCGTTTCCGCCAAGATCGCCCTCCGCCCCATCCCCCGCTTCATGATCAAGAAGCTCCAGGCTCGCAACGAGCGCCGCAAGGGTCGTGGCTTTGGCTTCGTCACCCTTGGTTCCGAAGAGCTCCAGGAGAAGGCCGTGAACGAGATGAACGGCAAGGAGATTGAGGGCCGCGAGATTGCTGTCAAGGTTGCCATCGACAGCCCTGGCAAGGAAGATGATGCCGTCCCGGTGACCGAGAAGACTGAGAAGACCGAGGAGGCCACCGAGGCCACCGAGGCTCCAGCTCAGGAGAATGCTGCTCCGGCGGCTGCTGCTGCTGCTGAGTAAAGGACAAGTTCGTTCCCCACCTGAACGAGTGATCCCTGATGGAATAATCAGGGAGGGATCGAGGTGACGACAGAGTCGGGACCCGTCATCTGGAGGCGGTATCTAGTCGTGGTCGTTCGTCAGGCGGCCAGTGTTGTCATTTTTCCAGTCGGGGGTTGGACAGATGACAAGACAGCCACCGAAAACGTTCTACTGAAAAAGGTTGTGGACGATTTCATCCTGATTGAGTTGGATCTACGCGGGAGGAGTGTTTTTTTTTTCCATCTTTCCTTTCCAATAACCTATCTTATGTCTTGCTATATACGGATTCCCGAAAAGGCTCCGTGCGGTGAGGCGGGAGACGAAAACCCCATAATGTGTGGTGGTGACGGAAGAACCTGGCTTTGTTCACGAATCTTGCTCTTGTGCTCCTGTATCTTAGCCCCCATTTATCGAACTGATGATTAGCCGCAAGGCTGGCCTTGTAATGATGATCTGGTGTCTCTGTTTGTTTGTTGTAGTTGAGTAAATTGGTCGTAAATATGTATGACATTAACCCCACCAAGCACGGTAGAATTATCAGACGACGGGATGCTTGCATTCGAGTGAGCTACTGAGTAACTGTTGCCTTTAGGCCATCCATGATAGATCATAGATTATAGATTACGTCAAGTGTGGTGGGTGGGTTGGACAGGGCGAGAAGCAGCAACCGCAGCCCGCGGCAACAACAAAGGCAGCGCCGCCGATCGGCTCCCGCTGCCCGCCTGTCGCGGCTGCACTTGGCCTGAAACCACCACTTCTTTCTTCCACCACGACAGACAAAGCAGCAGAAGGCAATCAATCGCTCTCCTGTCCCGCAACCCCTTCAGTGTTTAGTTTGTTCCTTGACCAGTGAGTTCCTGAGCTGCCATGTCTCGCATGTGGGAGGTTGATCCGGAGACGAGGGCCAAGGTGAGCCACTTGCTTGCTTGTTGTTACTGCTACTATCACCACCTTCCTCCCTTACCCCTCGATGTCCCCGTCCTTCTCCTTCCTCGACTGTACTCAATCGTCGTCACCCTACGTCTTGACACATCACTGACCGGTCTCTATCATCAGCTTCTCCAGATCTCCAAAACCAACGGAAACGACAAATGTTGCGATTGCGGCGCTCCCTCGCCCCAATGGGTGGGTTAATAACTGCCTTCCCCTTGCTGCACATCCATCTTCCTACGTCACCACACCACCCATTCCCACACTCCTTCGACATCACGCCCTGCTCGGCCAGGGATACTTCCACATGCTAACCCGTTTGCCTTATCCAGGCATCGCCCAAGTTTGGGACTTTCATCTGCCTTAATTGCGCCGGTACCCACCGCGGCCTAGGAGTGCACATCTCCTTCGTACGCTCCATCACCATGGACGCCTTCAAGACTGCGGAGATCATGCGCATGGAACAGGGCGGTAATGAGCCCTGGAAATCCTTCTTTGACGCTCACGTCATCACTCAGTCCGAGGGCCGCACCTTCGAAGACTCCACGATCAAAGAGCGTTACGAGGGCGAGGTCGGAGAGGAATGGAAGGAGAGGTTATCTGCCAAGATCGAGGAGAGGGAGTATGTGCCAGGCCAGACAACTCGACCAACACAACAACCGAAGACGCAGCCGGAATTGTCGTCACGGTCGAGCACCCCTCTGGCGCGCGGTGGCACCCCCGCGTCCCATGACGGACTCGTCGACGGGGGTGCCGGCGCGACCAAGAAGGAGCGCAACGAGGCATATTTTGCCAAGCTGGGATCAGCGAATGCCACCCGGAGTGAGTCCCTGCCGCCATCGCAGGGCGGCAAGTTCACGGGTTTTGGGGGCGGGATGCCGCCCGCCGCTCCGGCGGGACCAGAACGCACGGGAGGCTCCGGGGCCCTGCCTGGGTTTGATGATTTCCAGAAAGACCCCATGGCAGCGTTGACGAGAGGATTCGGATGGTTCACAACAACGGTGGGAAAGGGGGCGAAGACGGTGAATGATAGCTATATCCAGCCAACGGCCAAGACGGTATGCACTGGTGAATTATGGTGGTATGATAGGGCTAACCTCTGAGGGGCAACTACAGATAGCCGAATCGGATTTCGCAGCGCAGGCTCGTCTGCAGGCCTCCCAACTAGGTCAAAACCTACAAACTGGGGCCCGTGGTGCAGCAGGTCACTTTCACCGATTTGTGGAAGGGCAGGATGAAGCGGCAGCGGCGGCAGCTGCTCGTCGGGAACGGGGCCGGACTGGAGCTGAGCCGGAAAGAAAGGACTTTTGGGACTCGTTCTCCGCATTGGGAGAACAGGATAGTCATCGCCGGAATGCATCAAGATCGAGTGCGATTGGCACGGCTGCTATGAAGCCTGGTGGTGGTGGTGGTGGTGGTGGCGCTGCTGCTGCGGGTGCTGGGACTAAGGTTGCTGGATCCACAGCGACTCCTTCTGCCTCCTCGGGTGCGTCTGGGACGGGCACGGGGAGAAAGAGCCTCGAGGACAATAGTGGATGGGATGACAATTGGTGAGCTTGGATAGTGGAGGGAGTACTATCGTTGTACATAGTACTCGTTTAGTTTTCTTGGCACCGTTTACACACATTATACATATATAGTTATATATATATTCCTTGTTTGGCATCCACGGAGTACCAGGAATTAGGTTGATATGCATAATCGGACTTTTCTTCCGTCCAAGAACAAAGCGCGAGACTTGGTCCATACCATCGATTGGATCAAGTCTGAGAAGCACAAGGATACAGTAACTTACTCAGTACGTACTATATATTGCTTATACGGAGCACGCATGGAGAAAAAGAGCTTAACAAAAAGCGGGGGCGGGGCGGGGCGGCGAGGCGAATCGGCGACCCACCAAGAAAGGAACCATACGCCGACCATACGCAGACCATACGCAGGCAAAAACATCCAGCCTCTCATTGTCGAGTATTTCGAGTATTTCTGACTCGTACTTACCCAGAGCTTCGACTCTCTCTCACGTCATCTCATCTCTTTCCGGCCTTCGATCTCATCCCTCCGGCCTTCTCCCCCCACCAACAGGGTCTGATTCACCCCAAGTACTATGACAGCATCTAACTCTATCACCCTTTTCACCAATCATGCAGACAGGTCGGACTGGAGATCTTAAAACCCTTGCTCCTGCCTATAACATCCTCTCCTCGCGACTCAGCCCGCCCGATCTCCCGCGCATCAAGAAACGCTCCAATGCTTGTGAAGCCTGCAAGAAACGAAAGACTAAAGTGCGTCACTACAGCATCCCAGTATCCCAGTCTCTCAGTCTCTTTACAATCTGCGACCCCCCCCCCCCCCTACAAGTAGTCCTGAATGACTTTTGAAAAACAGTGTCAAGGCACCCAGCCATGCGAGAAATGCATCCAAGCCGGATCACAATGTGTCTTTGCCGAGGAGCTCGACAGGCGGAAGAAACTGGCTCTGAGGCAGGCTGAGCAAGAACTGCGCACCGCTTACGAGCTTTTGGGCCAGATGGTCGTGGCCTCGGATAATAAAGACACTGCCGAACTCGACCGGCTCTCATCGATGATCAAAGGCGGCTTCCTGCGCAGTGAAGATTTGATCTCGGTGGAACAGAAGGACATCCCAACCCCTTCGCAAAGAAAAGACAAAGACATGGCCGCCTCGCAATCGCCCACAGCTTCCTCGTCGGCGGGCTCTCTTCACGATCTTGCGACCTTGAATGAAGACATCAACCGGGACGAGCGCAGCAGGGCGACCGGCTATATTGGCAGGGGCTCGGAAATCGCCTGGTTGCAGAAGCTCACCGAGGAAGTTAGCAAACTTAGCTACTCGTCCGGGAGCCCGCAACCACAGCAGGAGACCCTGCCCGAAGATGATATGACTTCGCTTAGTTATCATCTCGACCAATTCGGTTTCTCAAACCTCACTCCCGGGGACCCGCAAGTTCTTCCAACCCGAGCATGCAGCGACCAACTCATCAGCATCTACCTTGCGAAAGTCGATCCATCGTTCCCACTGCTGAATAGGACCCTCTTCTTATCACAATGCCAACAGGCTTTCACCAAGTCGGAGCCCCCGCGCAGAAAGTGGCTCACAATCCTGAACTTGATCTATGCCATTGGCGCCAAGTATATGCAGCTGTGTGAGAAGAACTGGACCGATGCCATCGATGATCGTACTTTTCTGTCTCGAGCCATAGCTCTCAATGCCGACTCAAGTCTGCTTGCGGAGCATGCGGATCTCCAGCAAGTTCAGATCTGGGTGCTTTGTTCCATCTACCATCTCGCTTCCGCTCAGGTGAACAGGTGTGTGCTCTTTGCTTTGTTGCGGGCCTCTCTCATGTGAAGGGACGAGGAACTGACTTGACCAGAGCGTGGCATATGGCTGGACGTGCTGTCCGCTGTGCAATAGCATTGGGGCTCAACCTCCGTGGGGTTGGTCTCAATGTAGACGCTACATCAAGGGAGTCCCGCAATCGTCTCTGGTGGTCGCTTTTCATTCTGGAGCAACTCCTCTCCGTGATGACAGGCCGTACCCCATGCATTGATTGGCGGTCCTTCAGTATCCCGGCTCCCATTCCCTTCGACGAAGCACAGTTCCATGGCCCTCAAGCCGCAAAATTTCTTTCCGATCCTGCTTTGCGGGAGCGCACCTTTGTCTTTACCGTTCACACCCCCAAATTTCAGATTGACGATCGAAATCGGGTGCTCCAAGCCGTCGAGCCTAATCGTTCCCTCTATTTCTTCTACATGACCGACCTTGCTGTGATCAGCCATGCCGCCGTCAACGCGCTCTATAGTCTTCATTCGTCCTTTGGCTTGCCGAATTGTGCCACTGACAAAATCATTCATTTTCAACAAATGTTGAGAGACTGGCTGTCTAGCCTTCAGCCTTGCTTCCAGTTTTCTGACAGCAACGGCCGGCTGAAACTGACAGCGCCGTGCCCGGAACGGATTGCCCTGGCTCTCGCTTTCTACAGTTCTCAGATTATCCTGAACCGACCTTGCCTCACCCGTCCTGATATGAAGGAGGGCACTCAAACCAGGTACCCGCGCTCTCCATTTGCCGATGCCACGGCCCTGGTCTGCCTCCAGTCTGCCATGGACTTGACTGCCATCCTCCCCGACCCCCCTAACATGGACTGGCTGTGCGAAATGACACCCTGGTGGGCCGTCCTGCACTATATCATGCAAGCCATCGTCATCCTGCTGATTCAGCTATGCGTGGGCCCCGTGGATGTGCAGAGGGGGACTATGACCGAGAAAGGTCAAGGATCTGTGGGCACGGCCGAGGAGCCCGAGGTGATCCTTGAGCGGGCGAAAAAATGCCTGCGCTGGCTCCACGCGATCGCCAGCCGGAGCCCCAGCTCCCACCGGGCGTTCATCTCCTGCGAGCGCCTCCTGCACCGCATCGCCACCATCCACGGCTTCGATCTGAAAGGGATTCCCCAGACCGCCACCTTGGCCGACCGCATCGACAACGGCGGTCTTGAGCACTACTACGCCCAGCGCGGCAGCGCCCAGCAATCGGAGTCGGCTTACTCGGACCCCTTGAGGGAGACGCCGTGGTGGGGCGCAGACTTCACTTACTCGGAGCCGGACGTGGATGAGCAGGCATTCCGGCCGTTCAGTTTGGATCCAACGTTGCTGGAGTTTCTGGAGAATGTGATGGAATGATTCCTCTTGCAACTCAGTCGTATATTATCGGCTGCTATTATGAGATTGTTTTTTGCCCGGCAGTAATGAGTCGATATGAAGTTATGTTTCAGAGATACCATGTTTGTGTGTTCATTTTTCCCTAAATTGTCACTGTTGGCTCTCTGATGGTGGATTGATGATGAAGCCCTAATTTGGAGACTTGCTTCGACTTGATTTAATTTCAAGGGAAAAAGTTCAATTCTTTTGTTTTATTCCATGAATACCGGCGATTCACTCGTTCTGGAGATCTGAAGGAGTTCATTCATCCATGGATGTGATCTCGAAAGCAAAGCCGTTTCCAGCTATTCCAAGGATAACAAGGTTCAAGTTCCTATGTGTAGGACTCATACCACTCTTGTAATTCGCGGGACTTATAATACATGTCTTTTATCTTTTCTACAGGCCACGGCATATATACCCTTGAAGTGAAGAGATAGAGGAGAGAGAACTAATACCCACCCCTCAACTCGGACACCACCGCCTTCTGACGCGGGCCACTCATCTTCTCGAACCGATCGACGCTCATGACGAACGTGCCGCGGCCGGCACTCAGACTGCGGAGGTGCTTGAGGTAGCCCACCATCTCCTTGAGGGGCACCTTGGCGGTGATGGTGCGGGGCCGGTGAGCGGTATCCGGTAGGGCAGCGGCGGCTGAAGAGGAGCTGGAGCTTGTGCCGAGGTGAGCGATGGTCGGGGTTTCGAAGGGGTCGGGCGGGGCGTAGACTTTGCTGGGGTCGATGGGCGGGAGGTCTTCGTAGGGGATTATGTTTGTTGCCGATGTTGTTGTTGACAGGGTAGAGGATGCGGCGTCCGTGGATGGGAGCGGGATGTCCTCGTCCAGGGAGATGATGTGGCCGCCCCGCGCGGAGGAGATGTCGTGCACGACGGCGCCGAGGCTGGCTTCGTCGATGCTGATGATCACGTTCATCACCGGTTCCATGAGGGAGGTGCCCGTCCCGGGATTGGTGAGGAGGGAGCGGAGGGCGGTGGTGGTGGCTAGGCGCGCGGCCGAGGCGACGGCCGACGGGGTGCTCTCGGTGCCGAAGAGGTGCGAGGCCGCGTCCAGCGTGAGGTGCACGCGGGTGTTGTGCATGGGGAACGAGAACTGCGGGCCCCGGGCTAGGGCGGCGATGCAGCCGTTCAGCAGCGAGGTGCGCAGCGTGGCCACGTCGAGCCCGACGGGCAGGATCGCGCTCTCCTCGATGCCCTTCCGGTTGCGCGTGATCTGGAGGCCGGGGGCCTGGATGATGATCTGGTTGCCGTCTTGGGTTTCGAGTAAGAGGGTGTCCGCGTCGGTGGTGGGCAGGCCGTCCAGGTCCGGGTCGAACGCGGAGACTGATGCGGTGCATCCGGCTTTGCCCTTGCGGCCGGCGACTTCCTTGTCGAAGATCTTGGTGACGGGCTCGGAGTCGCCGGTGGGACACTCCCGGTAGCCGATCTCGATGCGGCCCACGGTGGCCTTGGCTTTGAGCTCGTTGATCAGCCGGTCCCGCGCGATCTCGAGGTGCAGCTCACCCATCCCGCTGAGGAGCGTCTGGCCGCTGTCTTCGTCGACCGTGACGTGCAGGCTCGGGTCCTCGCGGAGGAGCATGGCGAGGGCCTCGTGGATGCGCTTCTCCTCGCTGAGGCTGTGGGGCTCGACGCTGGCGAAGAACACGGGCGGAGGGACCTTGATGGGTCGGAGTTGAAGAGTGTCGAGCGGTTCCGGGGGTGTCTGTCGGTTGGTGGCGTAGGTGACCAGCGTGTCGCCCGTCCGGGCGTGTTTGAGTCCCACGACCACGCCGATGTGGCCCTCAGGGATGGAGTCGACCTCCACGGCGTCGTTGGCGTACATCTTCAGCAGGCGGGGAGCCCGCTCGGTTACCTTCAGGTTGGTGTTGTACAGCGCGCAGCTGCGATCGAGTCGTCCCGCGTAGACACGCACGTAGACCAGCACTCCGCGCTTGGCGTCGTTGACCACTTTGAAGGCTAAGGCACAGCCTTGGAGCTTCTCGATGGCGTTCTGGGATTCGGTCTGCACGACCGACTTCTTCTTCTTCGCCTGGCCCTTGGCCGAGGAGGCCGCCACCTTCTGTTCCACGATGAGGTCGCCGGACAGCAAGCGTCGCAGGCCGCCCGTGACGCCCCCAATGCTGACTTCGGGATCCGGGGTCTCGACCGGACTGGGCAGGAGATTCACGACGGCGTCGAGGAGAGGTTGGACACCGACATTGCGGAAACTGGCGCCGGCGAACACGGGGATGATCTTCCTGCCCTGCTCCTGGAGAAGGCATCGACGCAAGCTTTGCAGGATCTCGTTGGCAGGCACAGCAAGGTGATCTTCATCGTGCTCGAAGAATTGCTCGACCATGAGCTCATCGTACTCACTGAGCAGCTCGACGAGAGCAGTCCTTGCCCGTTTGAGCTCCTGAGCTAGCCGACCCTCCTCGGCCTCCAGCTGCTGCAGGTTGAGCATCTTGACTGATTTGCCATCTCCGTCCTCCCACCGGAGACCTTGAAGATTGATCACATCAGCCACACCGACAAAACGACCGTCCCCGCCTTCAAACCACGGAATCTGACAGACAGCCGGCCACCCTGCCAGCCGGGATGCGACCTCCCGGACCGTCCGGCCGAACGCTGCGCCATCTCGATCTAGCTTGTTGATGTAGACAATTCTGGGAATGCGGTAGGTGCTGGCTTGGTGCCAGACCTTCTCCGTTTGAGCCTCAACACCGGCCACACCATCGAGGATACACACTGCGCCGTCCAAGATGCGCAGGGAGCGCAGAACTTCGAATGTGAAGTCGGCATGCCCTGGCGTGTCAATCAGATTTACAATGTGGGAATGAGCAGAGCGAGGGGCTTGCAGGTCCGACTGGTTCGCCTCCCCGGCTGCTGTTTGGGGTGGCCAGTGGAAAGTGATAGCCGCAGACTGAATGGTGATTCCACGTGCCCGCTCAGCGGGCAGAAAGTCGGTCACCGTGGAGCCCTCATCCACGTCTCCAATTCTTCGGGTGAAGCCACTGTAGTAGAGCATGCGCTCTGTGGTCGTAGTCTTGCCCGCATCGATGTGGGCAATGATACCGATATTTCTCGTTCGGTCAAGCGTATCCTCTTGTCCTCGGAAGGCGGAGCTTGAGAATCTCTGGAGCCGAGGAAATGATGACTTCCGGGTGCATTGCATCACAGGGTTTCCCAAGCGACTGGTCAATGCTTGCCCCTGTTGTAGAGCAATTGGCCGCGCCGCCGGGTGAGAGGCGCGCAACAGAAGTGCTGCAACCATCAGGGACGGTGCTTGCCCACAGAGCGCTTGTCAATCTGAGTTGAATTATAGACTGTGGACCATGACTCTGTAGAAAGGGCCAAACAAGGTGCTCAGTCTGAGCTGTTTTGGATCGACAATGGCTAAGAAGGAGGACAATGTAGAGGCCAAAGCAATTGGATCAAGAAGTAAAAGGAAATAATGGTTACAGTATTGAAGCTCGGAGCGGATCCAGTGACCCGTTGATGCCTGGTTGATCAGGCCGACTAGTTACGTACTGTCACATCCTCAATCAATTGCTCCCCCATCGCTTCCTCCGTTCTCCCCTTCTTCCCCCCACATCTATCTGACACAATTGTCCTCTCCAACTCCTGTTATCCCCCCAAGTCTCTCCAGTACCCCTGGAGTCTTTACAGGTATGTTGCATTTGTCAATCGCAGCTTCACTATCCACAATATAGTATGATGCTGATTGATGTCTGCCTGGCTCACAGCGCGGCATAGACGTGGTCGCATCAATTCCTCCCCTCCCCCCAAGACAGCCACGATGGACTACTCCGCCATCTCGCACGATCCCGACCATCCTACAGGCACCTCGCCCTGGGCTTCGCCCCGACCAACGCAAACTACTTTTGCCGCGACGAGCGATATCCCCTCGTCTCCGTTACCCCCGCAAGAGCATTCCCCTTACGGCGCCGATAGGGAGCCGCAGCCTGCCGACGGGTCGGGCGCCAGAGAAGATGGATTCGGTCCCCCGAACTTGTCTGGCCAACTGCAGAACACCCATCTCGGTGGTGCCAATGCTGGAGAGCAACCGTCGCATGGTGCCCAACAGCAACAGCCCCAGGCTCAGCACCCACGATCCCAGATCCCGGCTCGTTACCAAACCGGACCCAGACAGAATGCCAGGCCCCCTGCTCCGGCCTATAAAATACAGGCGAAGATTACTGGGTTAGAGCGAACTGGCAAGAAGGATCCTATCCTGCGCTTCGATGTCCACGTGTGTTGGTCCTTGGTTCTGTTCCACCTGCGCATACTGACCACAACTACTAGACCAATGTCCCCAAGTTTAGAACCACCCAATACCGTGATGTTCGACGCACCCATAGCGAGTTTGTGAAGCTAGCCGATCACCTTATCTCCGCCAATCCCGAGACCTTCGTACCCGCCGTACCATCCCCATTGACCCCGGCCGGGGCCGGAACCGAAGAAGATGAAATTCGGGTTAAAGCCTCGATGCAGCGGTGGCTGAATGTGGTTCTGAGCAATGAGGTATTAATTCACGACGACGAAGTGATCCTGTTTGTGGAGAGTGATTTTGGGTACAGTCCTGTGGTGCGCATGAAGCAACCCGCCACCGGTGTCCGGAGGAAGGTCTTGAAGCAATTCGCGCCCCCTCCGGACGACACCCCGGAACTACAGAATGCCCGACCTACTGTCAAAATGTTCTATCTGGGTGCTATGGATGCCAGTCACAAGGTTGATCGCGTGGTTAAGGGCCGCAGAGGTATGCTTTAAGGATATGCAATTCTGAAGAATGCCCAGTGCTAATTTGTGCAGGTTTGGGTCTTGCTGAATCCGACTTCGGCGTCAAGCTGGGCCAGATGCACGTGCAGGAGACGCATCCGGGACTAGCCAATGCTTATCGAAAGCTGGGAAAGGTCATTCAGACGGTCGGAGATTTCCATGCTGTTCAGGCGACCGCGGAAGCTACCACCCTTGGAGATCCCCTTAGCTACCATTCCTCGGACGCCTTTATTGTCAAGGAAACTCTTACGAACCGTCATATCCTGCTGCGAGAGTTGATTCAAGCTCAACAAGCTACTCGCAGCAAACGCGCTGCCGCCGACCGGCTCAAGGTCAGCTCCTCTGTGCGCCCCGACAAAGTTGATGAGGCTATCAATGCGTTGGATGAGGCGCAAAGCCACGAGGACTTTTTGACCAAGAGGACTCAGCGCGTCACGTCGAATCTGCTGCTGGAGAAACAGCGCTGGTTTGAGCGAACATCCAGTGACCTGCTCGCTGGCTTGCGCGAGTATACTCTACGTCAAATTGAATCGGAGCGCCGCACCCTGGCCACCCTCGAGAGTGTTCGACCCGATATTCGGGCAATTGATGCCTCTGGAGGACTAAGTCGTCTGGGCCGTGAATCTCATCCTGCTGCCCGACGATCGAATTTGGGCTCGAGCCAAGGCCCTAAGGGCGACGCATGGAGCGGAATCCCTCGTCGCAGCGATAGTCTTGGACGTAGCATGAGCGGCAGCTTTGTTGCACCTCCCCTGGATGATGACGAAGAAACGAATGGCAGTGGAAGTGCCAAGGGTCGATTGCGCTCGGCCAGCGGGGTGAGTTCGATCGCTGAGGAGGACGACGAGGACCGGTTGGACGCGCGCAATGCGGCGAGTCGCCTAGCCACGAGTACCTTTTAGTAACTCATTGTAAATTATGGGCATATTTGTATGCGAGATTCCCCTTTGACCATGATTTTCTTCTGTTCCTATCCTTTGTTGCAGCATGTTTAATATGATGTTTTGAGTATGCAACTATTGTTTTTTTTTCTTCCCTTCATATTTCTGTGATTTCTGTGTAAATTTTCAATCGGTTATTCCGCTGTGGTTCTCGAAGTCTCCATGTCTGCCCGCATGGAGCTTATTGAGTCTGCAACGATTGTTGTTTTCTTTCCCCTGTCAAAGTCACGTCAATCAGCCCCGCCTTTGCATCGGCTACAACGTCATTCAGGAGAGGGGCAAATCTCCCTCATGGTCTCCTGACAGTAGGATGGCAGTGGAAACTGGAAGATGAGCCGCTGTCACACAGCTCAAGTTGGTCGAGAAGGTGGTCGCGCCCAAGAGCAAGCACTCAATACTATGAGCAATGGAACAATGGGCCTAGGGACGTTCTTTTGAGTTCTTCCCACCCCATTCCCACCCCCACTCTTGCTGAGGCGCTGATTGCGCTGATTGCGCTGTACGTAGTAGCTCTGACCTCGAACCTCGCCCACTCTTGATTCCCAAGCATCGGAACTCCAAAGATTTCCGTACTGCCCGCGGAGCTTAAGCTGTAATTGGGGTAAAATTTGTCAGTCCGTCTGTCTGTCTGCTGTTGTTTCCCCTCCACCTTCCCCCCCCCACCCACCTACTCATGATATAAAGTAATCCTCCCTCTCCCCGTCCTCGCGATCTCTTGATCTTCCTTTCATTGTCTTCATTCAACGAGAAGAACTCGCATCATACCACTAGCACCTAACGCAATCAAAAGCTCACCCTTCTACTGAAGCACAACATGGCTCCCATCAAGGCTTTCGTGTATGTCTCCCCACTCTCTTACTTACGCATAATAGCCTCTGACCAGCTGATTGCCTTCCCACAGTACTGGCGCCACCGGTTACATTGGTGGAGACGTCTTTTACAATGTCCACCAGGCACACCCTGACTGGGAATACGCGGTATTGGTTCGCAGCAAGGAGAAGGCAGAGAAGCTCTCCAGCGAATATCCCAAGGTTCGCGTCGTGTTGGGAGACCTAGATTCCGCGGATATCATCGAGGAAGAGGTCAAGAAAGCCGACATTGTTTTCCGTACGTCCCCCTCCGTGCGGCCCTTCTCCCTAATTACGAACTAACTTGCTTGGGTCAGACACCGCCGACTGCGACCACGTTGCGTCTGCTGAGGCCATCGCCAAGGGTGCTACCCATCACACCCCGGAGCGCCCCTTGTGGTGGATTCACACCTCTGGAACCGGTATTTTAACAGTCGAGGACTTCCGTGCCAACACCTGGGGTCGGTACCGCGAAAAGGAGCACGACGACTGGGATGGCGTGGATGAGCTCCTCAACCTGCCTTCTGACTCTCTCCACCGCAATGTCGATGAGATTGTCATTGCCGCTGGCAAGCGCGACCCCAACAGCGTCAAGATTGCCATCGTCTGCCCGCCTACAATTTACGGCCCTGGCCGTGGTCCCGGCAACCAGAAGAGTGTGCAGGCCTACTGGCTGGCATCTGCTGTCTTGAAGCGGAAGAAGGGCTTCTTGGTGAACGAGGGCAAGAACATCTGGCACCAGATCCACGTGCGAGACCTGAGCGACCTGTATCGGCTGTTGGGAGACGCTGCTGCTGCGGGCGGCGGCAATGCCACCTGGAACGACAAGGGTTATTACCTGGCTGAGAATGGCACCTTCGTCTGGGGAGACATCTCGCGGGAGGTGGCCAAGGTCGCTTATGAGAAGAAGCTGATCTCGTCTCCTGACGTGGAGTCCATCTCCGACGACCAGGTGAAGGAATTGAACCAGTTCGGTCTCTATGCCTGGGGCAGCAACTCTCGTGGCCACTCTTACAGAGGCAGGAAGCTGCTCGGATGGTCTCCTCACAGGCCTAGCCTGAAGGAGCTTATTCCTGAAATCGTCGACATTGAGGCCAAGGCGTTGGGCTTGTTGTAAATTGCAAACCAGAGACTGTCGTGTAAAATGAGGCTAATTTGATGAATGAAATGACTATCCCTCTCCAGACCCGTTTATTGTAGATTCATATGTAAAGAACAATGTTTATGGTTCCATTAGAAGCATGTGTTAGCAAAGTCAATTGAGGCGGAGCGCGGAATACGGTAAGCGATATAGACGCGCTACCCGCCCAGCCGCCGCTTTGTTCCATTGCGAACCCGTCCGATGCCATCACCTTCGCCGATCCAAGCAAACGGACCTTGAAACTTCTCCCCAGGTGTCGGCTTATCCATTTTGAGCCCCCGCATGAGTCTTCCACAGCAGGTTGTCGCCCATCTCCCTATATGCATCAAAAATTGACCTTTTGATTGCAACCATCCCAAATCTTAGCCCATCGAGGAAGCTGACCGTCTCCAATCTAGGTCCGCCGCATGCACTGCGACCTGTCCGGAACTCATTTGTTCTCTCCCTCAGCCCTCTAGCTTCGATATCGGCCCTGTCATGGCTCCAGGTGCCGGAGGAAAGAGAAAAAGAGGCGATCGAACGTGGTCTGGCGATTCCGGGAACGACGGTTCACGACCATCCCCCCATCGACCAGGTAATCTCAATATGGCGCAACACAATCACGGCCCGCAGTCTCGCGACTACGACTCGCGTGGCCGCGGACGGAGGCCTCCCGGTCGAGGAAGAGGAGGCAATATGAATATGGGTCGACGTCCCAGTGGCGATAGCCAGAACTTCCCCGGCGGTCGGAGGGACACGGCCATGTCCCCGCCCAGCAGCGCGCCCGCGAAAGATGTGCCTGAATCAAATCAGATTAACGGAATTTCTGCGAATGCCGACCAGAACAAACCTCCTCCATCACCTTCACCTGTAAATCCATCGGCCCAGTCACAGCCGCAACCTCAGACGCAGACCCAACCGTCGCCTGCGCCAACGCCCGCTCCTGCGCCTCCAATGCAACGATCAAATGCTCCCGTGCAGCCTCCTCCCGGCCCACCACAACCGTACGACTACGAGTACGTTACACAATCAGTGATCGATCACTGGGCCGCCTCTGGTAGAAAGGAAGTCGTGGAGAAGGGTATCCAAGCGAAAAACACGCAAGATGCGTCTGGTCTGGCGTCCGTATACCAGGAGCTTATCCGCTCAGCCCTGTACGGCCGACTACCACCAGACCACGCGGGCTCAGCAGTTAGAGACATCATTGGCGATGATGTTACTGTGGAGAACGTTGACATGAACGGGGAGCAATCGACTTCAAGCACCCTTGACACGCAATCTCTTTTCCTAGACACCCTGTCCATTCTTACCGATTCCGACACGTCAAACAATGCCCTGAGACCGCTTGTTTACTCCACTGGCATCAACCCAGCTCTTATGCGCGTGCAGCTCGACACACAACTCCTTCAATCGCTCGGACTCGTCCGCGAAACCTTTACCCGTATGGGCATTCGCAAGCAGACCAACCTCTTGTACCGACAGTCAAACTACAATCTTCTACGCGAGGAATCTGAAGGTTATTCTAAGCTTCTAACCGAACTTTTTACGACAAGTAACAATGAGCCTCCATCCAGTGAAGTGGTGGAAGACACCTTCGAAAAGGTGAAGGCGATGATCGGTGCTTTCGACATGGATGTTGGCCGTGTACTCGACGTCACTCTTGATGTCTTCGCAGCGGTCCTGGTGAAACAGTATCGCTTCTTCGTCAAACTCTTGCGAGCTAGTTCATGGTGGCCGAAGGAGGACAACTTCCGCAATATGGAAGGTGGAAACCGCGATTCTGGTCTCCCCAAATGGGCTCTACCCGGATCGACTGGGTGGGCGACTACAGATGAAGAGCGAGCCGACATCATGGTTGCGAACGAACAGCGCGATCGCGACTTTTGGAACCGGGTGAGAGAGATCGGGATCCGGGCTTTCTTTGAGATTGGCCGACGACCTGTTACTCAGGAAGAGGTACAGCGGATACTTCCTGAAAGCCACAGTCTTTCTGAGGAAGAAAAGTCAATGCGAAAGTGGATCGAGGAGACAGGCACATTGCCGCCAAAAGGTAGTCGAGTCGCGGCTCAGCTTCTCGGTTTCAAGTTACGCTTCTACTCTTCCAAGGCTCGCTCAAAGTCAGACGTTCTTCCAGATAATCTCATCTACCTGGCAGCTCTGCTGATCAAAGTGGGCTTTATCTCCCTGCGCGACCTATACCTTCATCTCTGGAGACCAGATGACTCAATGGATACATTGAAGGAGGAAAAGCTCATGGAGAAGGCTGAGAGAGAGAGAGCTGCACGTCCGGGAGGTGGTGTCAATGCTTTGATGATGGCCGGTGCCCTATCGGATGATACTCTCCCCATGCCTCGCATTCGTGAATCCGAGCCCCGGTCTGCCACTCCCGGAAAGGAACAAGAAGCAGACAAAGCTGCCGCTGCGAAGGCAGAAGAGGAGGAGCTGCCGGAACCTTCAGACCAGAAGGTTATGCTATTGAAAAGTCTATTGGCAATCGGCGCCCTTCCAGAGTCTTTGTTCATCCTCAGCAAATTCCCTTGGCTCATGGACGTCTATCCGGAGCTCCCGGAATTCATTCACCGTATTCTTCATCACTGTCTTAGCAAGGTCTATGCTTCGTTGCGTCCCTTACCCTCTGCTGAGGGGCTTAACGAACAGAAGCAAATCCCGAGCCAAGATCAGGCAGGCCTGGCAAAGGGTCAGATTCGTCTGGCTCAGGCACCACCACGGCGCGTCCTGCGATGGGCACAGCTAGACAAGGAGGATACCAACGACGGAACCGACTATCGATTCTACTGGGATGACTGGGCTGACAATGTTCCCATTTGCCAGTCGGTTGATGACGTTTTCGCGCTCTGCTCTTCATTTCTCAATCTATCAGGTCATAAGATCGGCCAGGACTCTACTCTGCTCTCGAAACTTGCGCGAATCGGGAAGGATAGTCTCAGCAAAGACGATTCCCCCGAAAATAGGGCGCGTTGGCAGGATCTTTGCAAAAGGCTTCTGGTTCCGTCCATTAGTCTTACAAAAGCTAATCCTGGAGTTGTGAATGAAATCTTCGATCTCGTCAGCTTATTCTCCAGAGAGACCCGTTACAACATGTACGCGGAGTGGAACTCAGGACAAACGTCTCGACTACCGGACCTCAAAGCCGCCTTCGACCAAGCAAGAGCCGAGACGAAAGACGTCCTAAAGCGACTGAGCAAGACAAACATTCGTCCAATGGCTCGTGCCTTGGCCAAGATTGCTTATGCGAACCCTGGAATTGTCATTAATGTCGCCATCAACCAGATTGAATCTTACGAGAATCTTATCGAAGTTGTTGTGGAATGCGCACGCTACTTCACTTACCTTGGATATGATATTCTGACCTGGGCTCTGATCAGTTCTCTTGGCCAGAAGGGTCGAAGCCGTGTACAAGAAAGTGGTCTATTGACTAGTCGATGGTTGAACGCCTTGTCCACCTTTGCAGGCAGAACCTTCAAAAGATATTCTGTCATGGACCCGGCTCCTTTGCTGCAGTACGTCGTCGAGCAGCTGCGGCAAGGCAATTCAACGGATCTCATCGTCTTGGAGCAATTGATCAGTTCCATGGCAGGCATTATCACAGACACCAATTTCAACGAGGCACAAATCCAGGCCATGGCCGGTGGCGAGGTCCTTCGAGCTCAAACTATCCTTCAGCTGCTAGACAAACGTCACGAATCCAAAATGACCTCGAGACGACTCATGAAATCTTTGACAGTATCTAAACTCGCTGGCCAGCTACTTATTGCTATTGCTCAGGAGCGCCTGACATGTATCTTCAAGGAAACTGAGGGCGCTTCGGAGCTGAAGCTGCTGGGTAACATTTTTGACGAGATTCATCGCATTCTGACACAGTACCTCGATCTTCTTCGTAGCAATCTCACTGTCGAGGAGTTCGATTCTTTCGTCCCCGATTTGGCATCCCTCATCGGTGAATATGGCATTCAACCAGAGGTGGCCTTTTGGATTCGAAGGCCAAGTATCGCGCTGAAGATTGCGGACATCGAAAAGGAAGGGCAGGATGAGGATGCGGGGGCAGCGCATCGGGACTCAGAGGACAAGCGTCAGCTCAAGATTGAGGGTGATAAGATGGATACAGGAGAAGATGGAGAGACAACCCCTGCTGCAGTGGAGCCATCAGCGGAGCACACTATGGAAGTGGACCAGGAGAAACCCGAGCCTGCAGATAATGCACAGGGCAATGCTGAAACAACCACTGCCATCCCCGCACCCGCTGAGGCGCCATCTCTCAATCCAGTCATTCAAGACCTCCACGATCAGATTAGGGCGGCCCTACCTACTGAAACCTGGGGTACTGTCGGTCTTCATTTCTACGTCACCTTCTGGCAACTGTCACTTTACGATGTTCACATTCCGCAAAAAGCTTACGAAGATGAAATTGATCGCCAGAAACGTAAAGTCATCGCGATCAATAATGACCGTTCCGACATCAGCATGGCCGGCACGCAAAGAAAGGAGCGTGAGAAGAAGCAACTGACACAACTGCAGGATCGGATCCTAGAGGAGAACAAAGCTCATCTGAAGGCCTATGGTCAAACAAGGACGAAACTGCAGAAAGAGAAAGACCGATGGTTTGTGGGCATGCGCGGCAAGCACGATGCTCTCAACGTTGCTCTGTTGGAGCAGTGTTTCTTGCCTCGTTTGCTCTTATCATCCGTCGATGCGTTCTATTGTTTCAAGATGCTCAAGTTTCTTCATACAACGGGTGCCCCCAATTTCCGGACAGTCGGCCTTTTAGATCAACTTTTCAAGGAGCAACGGCTGACAGCCTTGATCTTTCAGTGCACATCCAAGGAGGCGGACAATCTTGGTCGATTCCTGAACGAGGTCATCCGCGATCTCAGTCGCTGGCATGCAGACAAGACGGTCTATGAGAAGGAAGCCTTCGGAAATAAGAAAGATCTTCCAGGTTTCGCCATGAATGTTGACCTCGAAGGGAAACCCACCACTTTCCTCGATTATGAGGATTTCCGGCGACTGCTGTACAAATGGCACCGTCTTCTGGCGTCCGCATTGAAGACATGCTTGAACGGAGGAGAATACATGCACATTCGTAACTCTATCAGTGTGCTGAAGGCTGTCGTTCAGCATTTCCCTGCTGTGAACTGGATTGGTCGAGATATGCACAAAAGCATGAAAGAACTTAGCGAGACGGATGAACGTGATGATGTCAAGATCCCCGCTGCTTCGCTCATTGGTGATCTCAACCGACGCGAAAAGAAATGGTTACTTCCCCAGGCGTTCAATATCGCCCATCAACCGGCGCCGGGCAAGGCAATTGCACCCAACGCCACAGGAAAGCCCGGTACCCCACGGCCTCAATCTGGAACCCCGGCTTCTTTGAATGCTTCTGCGCCCGAATTCAAACCCACAGCTGCCAATGAGTAAGTCCCTACAAGTCAACATTCCCATGGCGGCAGATGTCCTAACGCCTGATTTTGTCATTGCAGAAATCAAGACGCTATAAACGCCGAGGCTTTAACTCGTGTAGAGGTTGAAGATGGTGAGATTGAGGATGCGAAAATGGCCGATGCTCCAGTAAGGAATGCGGAAGAAAGTACCCAATCAGCTCAACAAGCCGAGACGTCTGATACCACCGCCGCTTCTCAGCCTAATGCAGCTGAAGCCCAACCTACCGAAACGACAGAACCGAGTGGCCGCGCTCAGGCCTTGGACGATAAAGAGACACCTTCTCTTGCTGCAGCGCCATCTGAAGGCGAACCTGCTCCTCGCCCCCACGTTCCTGCATTGCCTGCCGAGTCGTCAGCTGCATCTAAAGGTCCTGAGCTTAGTAGGCCACCGCCCAATATCCCAAAGCGCCCCGACTTCGACAGAGCTCCATCCGGGACACCTAACACCCGTACTCAAACGCACCTGCCTAACCGGCGACTGCCCCCACGACCTGATCTAATGGAGAATCGACGTGAGCGACATCAAGAATATCCCCGTGGCGGTCGATTCGACGGGGAACACGAATTCAATCGACCATTTGATCCAGCGATGGGCGATGGGCGGGCATATGGTCGCCTTGATCGGGACTTCCCCGGGCGGCCTCCTGTAGACGAGCCGTTCCGTGGCCCTCCTCTTCGAGATGGACGCTCTCTCCGGGAGAACGACTGGCCAGATCGGACTGGCCGGCTGCGTCCTGATGGCCGCGAAAGCCTTCCGACTCCCCGACCAGGTCCACCAACCCACCCTGATCGGCTTGATATGATCCATGATCATCCCGAGCGGACTGGGGACAATTTCCGTAGGGGTGATTCAGGGCGGCAGGAAAGAGACGAGCGGAGACCCCTACCAACACGAGCCTTGTCGCCTGCGCGCATGGAGCCACCGAATCGGCCGGAACGATTTCCGTCTGATGATCGCCGATCTGCCATCTATTCTCAGCAGCAACTGCGCGGCGAAGATATGCCGACAGGACCCCGCAGCGAACGGTTCGGTCGGCAACCCATCGACTCTGACCCTGGCATTGACATGACGGCCGGACGCTTAAGGCAGCCAGAGCCACCGGCCGATGTGCCCTTAGGTCCCCGCGGCAGGAACATGTCAGGACGAGGTGGACGCAATGTGTCCGGCACATCCCACACTGGTCCCTCAGGTTCTGGCCCTACCGCTGGAACTGCGCCTGATCGCCAGCCCCCTACAGGCCCTGGTCGTCAGAATGTTCGAGCTGCGCCTGATCAGTCCTCTTCAGCGGGCCCTTCATCGCCTACCACCGAAAAGCTCGACACCAGTGGTATCCATCCTGACCGGCTGAAGGTTCTTCAACAACAGCCCAAAGACACTTCCTATGGGGGCAATCCTCGCTCGCACCCTCCCCCGTCTCCTGCATCTGGTGTTCCTCCGTCCGGTCCCAGGGGGACTGCTGGACCCCCTAGTGGGCCATCATCTGGCCCTCGCGGCCCACCTTCTGGGCCTGGCTTTGGTGGTGGAGGTGGCGAACGAGGCCGTGGCGACAAACGCTTTGCTGGGATCAACAACATGCTACAGCAGTCCGGAGGGCCGCCCGACCGCAATCCAGGACCTATGATTCGTGGTCGGGGTGCCAATCGACAATCGGCTGGGGCGAACGTGCCGTCGCCGCAGTCAACGCGCCCTCAGACTCCCGTAGGCTTGGAGGAGAGTGGTCGCCTTGGCCCTTCTTCTCAAGGGAGACCCGACTTGCTTGCTTCACGGCCATCAGGAGCATCATACCCGGAAGATGAAAATCCTCGAAACCGATTTGGAAATGGACGAGGCGAGTTGATGGACGAGAGTGGTTCCGAGAGCCGGCGATCCATGCGGTATTCTTCGGGCGGTAGCTTCAACCAGGATCGCAACGATCGAGAGCGAGAACGTGAGCGTCGTGGCGGCGGTGGCGGCGGCGGCGGCGAGGATGAAGGATCACGGAGTAGCTCTCGACGGGAGGAGCATCGGGATCGTACACGCGATTATGAGCGTGAGCGCAGCCGTCGCAGCGATGCTGGAGCGGGCACTCCGCGCGAAGAGCGCTTCGAGTCTCGTGAAGTTTCCCGGCGGGGTGCTGGAGCACGCGAGGACAATCGGCGACGACGTGACCGTGAAGAAGGATCGGACCTTGCCCCGAGCAGTCAAGACCACGAAGGACGTCTCAGGCCACCATCATCCCTTGGAGGACAACCTCCACCTCCACCGCCACCACCTGCTGGCGCAGAGGAGGAGCCACGACGCTGGAGCGGTGGGCGGGAAGGGCGAGACCGGGACCGCGATCGCAGAGGTGATCGCCAGCGAGATCGGGAATATCATCGTGACGGTGCTGGCGGAGGGCCTCATCGTAAGCGCAATCGACCGGGAGACGACGGAACTCATGGCGAGGGAGCCGGACGAGGAGGAATGCGCATGGGTGGTGAAAGCAAGCGACCACGACGTGGGGGTTAGTCCGATATCTGCGGAATGACCTGTACTGCATGATAATGTGTTTTCTTTTTTTCATTGACTTTACTCTCCGACACACCCTCTATACTCAATTCTCTCACGCCTTCTTGCACATTCCCAACCTCTCTGTCTTTCCCCAACCTTTTCTTTTGCTCTCGTTCTCTCTCTCGTTCTCTCTCTCTCTCTCTCTTTCTCTCTCTCGTTCGCCCTCTCTTCCTATTGAATTTACTCTGTATCTTGTGCACTGGATCCCATGCATTGTTGGACGGTGTTAGGACATTTTGATTGAACGCATCCATTGGCTGAGCTTGCTTGCTTGTGATAAACCCTGGGAGTGAATTGCATGTGTGTACCATACTTAGTTAGTAGCACCAACCAAGTACGAGCCGATTGATAATGAGATGAGGCCAGGCTGGCCAGTTGCATTGCAATTAATGTCCTGCACCGATCTGATGATTCTTCCTGAAGCAGCAATGGTTTCCACTGACCGTGCATTTGGAGTGACACGGACCTGACCAGTTGACTGACCAGTTGACCGACCAGCAGCAAAGGAGAATTTCCCTTTCGGTCGCGGGCCTTGTTGATAAAATGACCAAAAATGACAGGCAATCGGGCCGACATTCCGTTCCGCCCCTCGCCGGTTAATCTTCGGCTTCGTCTTTCCTGCCTTCTTCCACACAAGTCGTGTCTCATCTTCATACTGTCCAAACGCCCAGACGGTTCAACCTCCATCCCCGGCCCTACCAACCGATCATCCGTCAACAGACTCACGATCCATCCATGCGATCGTGGTGGATCCTGCACTGGGATCTTCCCTGCTCTGTGCTCTTGGAGGAGGCGGGGAGCTTGTGTGCGACATCCGGCTTCTTCAATGCGACTGACTCAGTCCCACCAGAAACAAGGACTATATCTAGACCCTCAATTCCTTTCCTGCCCGGTTAAATTATGACGGCATTCCTTCCCCCGCCTATTCTCTTATCGTCTTATCGCTTTATCGCTTTATCTTTAAACCCAACTCCTCCCTTGAGCCATAGATCCCTCTTGCAATTCATCCTACCCTTCCTCTCTCTGGAGTGGTAAAACTCTCCACCATAAAACAAAAAAAAAATTAAACAACAAAAAGAGTCTAGAAACTGTTGAGGTATAAGTCCCGCAAAATGACTCGCTTAGACGTGGAGAAAACTTTGGAAGAGCTCACGCTCGGTGAGAAGGTGGCCCTCACAGCAGGTAAGTCACTACATCGACATGGTGCGTCCGATTTGGCGTTTGTGTGTCCCTAATTCGACTCTCTTCGTTGTTATCAGGCATTGACTTCTGGCACACTGCCTCGGTGCCCCGCTTGAATATCCCCTCCCTGCGCATGTCCGATGGCCCCAACGGCGTGCGGGGCACCCGCTTCTTCAACGGCGTTCCTGCCGCCTGCTTCCCGTGCGCAACGGCCCTCGGTGCGACCTGGGACACGGAGCTTCTGCACCAAGTAGGGCGGCTGATGGGCGAGGAGTCCATCGCCAAGGGATCGCACATCATTCTCGGTCCGACCATCAACATTCAGCGGTCCCCGCTGGGCGGTCGAGGCTTCGAGTCCTACGCCGAAGACGGAGTCCTGTCCGGGACGCTAGCGGGCCACTACTGTCGGGGTGTACAGGAGAAGGGTGTCGCGGCAACTCTGAAGCACTTCGTCTGCAATGACCAGGAGCACGAGCGTTTGGCAGTCGACACGATCATCACGAACCGGGCGTTGAGGGAGGTCTACCTCCTGCCGTTCCAGCTGGCGATGCGCATTTGCCCGACAGCGTGCGTCATGACCGCGTATAACAAAGTCAATGGGACGCATGTGAGTGAGAACAAGGAGATCATCACAGATATCCTCCGGAAGGAGTGGGGATGGGATGGGCTGGTGATGAGTGATTGGTGAGTCGCGGTCTCCTTTTTTTTAAAAAAAAGAAAAAGAGGGCTCGGAAAGCTGATTCCTTGGACGCAGGTTCGGAACGTACAGCACCTCCGACGCGATCAATGCGGGCTTAGATCTCGAGATGCCGGGCAAGACACGCTGGCGTGGAACGGCCCTGGCACACGCCATTTCCTCGAACAAGGTCGCCGAGTTCGTCATGGATGAGCGAGTGCGCAACGTTCTCAACTTGGTCAACTGGGTCGACCCGCTCGGGATTCCCGAGCAAGCAGAGGAGAAGTCATTGAATCGACCGGAGGACCAGGCGCTTCTCCGTCGTACAGCAGCCGAGTCGGTGGTGCTCATGAAGAATGAGGGCAATATCCTACCCTTGAAAAAGGAAAAGTCGATCCTCGTGATCGGGCCCAACGCAAAATTCGCGGCCTACTGCGGAGGTGGCTCTGCCTCGTTGGACCCGTACTACACGGTGACCCCGTTCGAGGGCGTTTCGGCTAAGAGTCAGGGCTCGGTGCAGTTCGCCCAGGGTGTCTACTCTCACAAGGAACTGCCCCTGCTGGGCCCGCTCCTCAAGACGGAGGATGGTCAGACCGGCTTCAAGTTCCGGGTGTACAACGAGCCCGCGTCCGAGGCGAACCGGACCCTGGTCGATGAGATGCACCTGGTCTCGTCTAGCGGCTTCCTGATGGACTACGTCAACCCCAAGATCAAATCCTTCACCTTCTACGTCGACATGGAAGGCTACTTCACCCCGGAGGAGGATGGCGTCTACGACTTCGGCGTGACCGTCGTCGGCACCGGCAAGCTCTACGTGGACGGCGAGGTCGTCGTCGACAACACCAAGAACCAGCGCCAGGGCACCGCCTTCTTCGGCAACGCCACCGTCGAAGAGCGGGGGTCCAAGGCCCTCAAGGCCGGCCAGACGTACCGCATCCTCCTCGAGTTCGGCAGCGCCCCGACCTCCGACCTAGACATGCGCGGGGTCGTGATCTTCGGCCCCGGCGGGTTCCGCTTCGGCGCCTGCCGCCAAGTCACGCAGGAGGACCTCATCTCGCACGCGGTGGACCTGGCCGCGAGCGCCGAGCAGGTCGTCATCTTCGCGGGTCTGACCAGCGAGTGGGAGACCGAGGGCCACGACCGCGACCACATGGACCTGCCGCCCGGCAGCGACGAGATGATCGCGCGCGTGCTGGCGGCGAACCCCAACGCCGTCGTCGTCATCCAGAGCGGCACGCCCGTCACCATGCCGTGGGTGCACCAGGCCAAGGGCCTCCTGCACGCCTGGTTCGGTGGCAACGAGTGCGGCAACGGCATCGCCGACGTCCTGTACGGCGATGTCAACCCGGCCGCCAAGCTGCCCGTCACCTTCCCCGTCCGCCTGCAGGACAACCCCAGCTTCCTGAACTTCCGGTCCGAACGCGGCCGCGTCCTTTACGGCGAGGACGTCTACGTCGGCTACAAGTACTACGAGAAGGTCGACCTCGCCCCGCTCTTCCCCTTCGGCCACGGCCTGTCCTACACCACCTTCACCCGCCGGAACCTTCGCGTCACCGCATCGGCCCCGGAACAGCCCCATTTCGCCGCCGACGGCGAGCCCATCACCGCCACCGTCGCCGTCACCAACACCGGCGCCCTGCCCGGCGCCGAGATCGTCCAGCTGTGGGTCCTCCCGCCCCCGACGGGCGTCAACCGGCCCAAGCGTGAGCTCAAGGGCTTCGCCAAGGTGCACCTGCAGCCCGGCGAGACCAAGGAGGTCGAAATTACCGTCGAGAAGAAGCTGGCCACCAGCTGGTGGGACGAGCAGCGCGCCAAGTGGGCGTCGGAGAAGGGCGTCTACGAGGTGCTCGTCACGGGCACCGGGGAGGGGGTCCTGAAGGGCGAGTTCACCGTCGAGAAGACTCGGTTCTGGCTGGGGTTGTAACCGGGGGACCGACCGGTTGCGCACAGGGCACTTTCCTGCTTCTCGGAAGTTTGGAATCACAGGACTGTCTTCATTTCCAAGGCTGCTCTCTCTCTATACCGGTTATAGTCGAAGTTTGATTACATGTTCCTACGAAATATGCTATGATCTGATGGATACCTTATGGATATACACATTCTGGTTTTCTGGACTGGCGTATCTGATATGGACGTAGTATCACCTGCATAACGTAGTAGATATCCTACCTAGCATACATCGACCGTCTGCCGGCTCCAGCATTGTGAAGTACGATCGTAGATTTCCTGCGGGTGACTCCACTAGCGAATATATAAATACACACCGAATAACGTAACACGGGCATACATACACGGGACATTTCAGAGACGCATTTCATGGATAGCTTGGTGGAATTGAAACGTTATTGATGTCATAATAGTAATTCATTCATGTCCCCTGATACGGGAGCACACCCTCCAGACCCGACGACGTCCTCGGGAGGCGGTCCTCCTCTTCCTTTTCCCGGGGGCTTCCTCGTCCAGTCAGCCAACCCGCTAGTCGTCTGAACAGCGTCGTTGGCGTCGCCCGACGGCTCTCCATCTCCATCTCAATTACCGAGTCATCATCGTCGTTATCGTCATGTCGTCGGAACCGCCGTCTCAGTCTCCCTGATACCGAAGCCGTGGAATGGCTAAGGGCCGACCATGAGGTCTTTAACCTCGATGCACTGGTCCCCGGTCGACGCGGGGGGACGGTGTGTGTTGGTTCCGGGAGGCGGGGGAGGGTCGGTGTCGGAGTATCGTCGGGGGCATTGCCACTATCAGTGGTCGTGGGAGCGGGGTCGTGGCTCATATGAGTGCGTCCAGTACCGTCGATACTCGCGGTGGTAGGCGAAGAGGATGATGACGAAGAGGAGAGGAGAAGGATACTCCCCGTCTTCATCTTGGTCATCACCGCCTGTTGGAGACCGAGGTCACGCTCGAGCTCTTCGGCCGAGGTCATGATGTGGGCGTTGCCGTTCGTGTCGATTATCGTGGGGGGTTCGTCTTCTCCTCCTCTTCCTGACAGTATCTCATCCGGGGGCAGGTGCAAGGGGTATGTTGGTGTGTATGTGGAATGTCGCTTGGTCTTGGAGGTGTCATTTTCTTCCTCCTCCTCGGTAGCGGCGATTTCTGCTTCGGTGATGAGGACAGAAGTTGTTGTGGCAGCGGCAGTGGCAGCAGGCGGATTGTAGACCTTCGACTGTCGGACGGAAGTAGAATTTACTGATGAGAGGCCGAGGCTGGGGGTGCTGGTTGTCAGGAGAGGCATCGCCACGCCTCCGGGGCCGCCTACGCCGCCGACTCCCCCTGCAGACGAGGTGATATACTCCGCGGCAGTGTCGGCGTCGAGGAACACCTCAACGTCGGAGTCGTTGGTGGCGTCCGGGCTCTCATCTTGGGACGCGGAAGAATTGTGTTGTTGCTGATTCGGCACTGGGTCAGTCGGGGACAGGAAAGCGGCGGTGTCTTGGTCTCGTTGGCAGGGCTTCTTTTCCTCGCCTGTCGCGACAGCTGCTCCCCGGGTCAGGAACTGGTGGTGGATGTGCTGCTGTTGGCTGGGGTCGACGGACGAGGTCGGGCTCGTGTCTTCGCTGCTCGTCTCGTTGTTACTGCTGTCCGTTGGCGAGAGACTGGTCGGTACGGTTCGGTAGACCGTGTTTTCTGACTCCGTCGTGGTCGTGGTTGTCGTCGATACTGTGATAGGACTGATAATCACATCTTCTTCGCCCTCGGGTGCGGTTGGTGAGATCGGACTAACAACCATACTCTCTTCTCCCCGTGCTACGGCCGCAGTAGCTCCCACCTGCGACTTCCCAGCTTTAAGTGAGCCCTCGCGTTGAGTCGTGGTGTAGTTTGAGTGCGAGGATCCCAGCTTGGACCGCTGCCCCTCTCTCATCGTCGCTATACTCGGCTGTTGTGTCAACCCGACCCCAGAATCATGTTTCTCACTTCCATCCCGAGCAAAGATCCCATTTCCGAATCGTCCAATCATCCCATTGCGAAGCTTCTTGGTGGTACTGGACAAGAGGTACTTCGCCTCAACCTGCGCGGCCGCGGCCGCACTGCTCCCTGAGAGGGTAGAGGTGGTTGTGATAGTGGAGATACGTTTCTTTCGGGCTGCAGCCGCGTCTTTGGCGCGATTGGGGCAGTAATTGGAGGAAATCCCTTGCTCAATGCGGTATACGAGCAATGAGCAGGCGTAGCGGACCTGAGCTTCTAAATCGGGGGATAGCTCTTGGCGGCTGCTCAAGAGATTGTCTTCATCTTCTTTAGCTTCATTTCGGGCGATGGCAGTTTCATTATGTCTCTGAGGGAAAACATCGTAGTATCGTGGAGGTTGGTCATCAAGGTTGTCATCGTGAAGGGCGAAGGTGGGTTTCTGTGACTATTCCTTTAGTATCGTCTTATGGACGTTGATGAAACGCCGAGCCATGCTTCTCAGATTTGAGATCTCTCGGAAGATTATAGAGGGTCAAATTACACACTTTTGAACCGAAGAGGAACGAAAATGAGGTGCGTTTTTTCAACAGGAGGTCCTTGGTCAGGAAATCCATATTCACTGTTATGGCCTTCGGGACGAAGGTGAGATCGGAAAAGGGAAGACACGTGGATCTATTGGCGCGGACCAGTACTGTATATGATATTCTGGGCTATCATTGATCCCAGGATCCCAGGAAGAGAAAAAGATTGTCTCACAAACGAGAGGGCTGAATAGTTTGCTCGCATGGGAATGACGATTGCGACCAGGGCTGATTCTGAACGTCTTGGTCCGCTGGGCAACGAAGTGCCCAAAAGAGCCGCCCAAAACAAACTCTCTTTCTCTCGCGATTCGGCCCAACTCAATGGGGTCAAAAATGAACCGAAAAGTTGTCCGGGCAGCTGAGAAGAGAAAATACGCAATAGGAATTGGAATGCGGGGGGTGGGGATGAATAGAAAACAGACAATGCCTCAAGTCCCCGGGAGCACAGCAAACAAGAAGTAGAAGAATGGGAACCCACCCAGCCAGCCTACAAACAAGCCACGTCCCCCCCATCATCATGATGACAGAAGGGTCTCGGACTCGAAAGAGATATGAAGTGCCTGCTTGCTTGCATTGCACATTGCACAGGACTGGACGAGTCTCATAGCCTTCCAACCTGCATTGCATTTCCCCGACGATCGATCCTTATTCGCAAGGAGAAGGGAGGCCCGCGGGAGCTGCGCGCCGCCGCGCACAACGGCGGCGGCCACTCCAGGAGAACGAGCGGGGAAACAAGCTATTAGACTTTTGTTAGGGATGAAACGGCAGGTGACAAAGCGTGGTTGGCATAAAAGCAGGCGTAGAACGGTTACGGTCACAGAGTTCGAGTTGAACTCTGGTGACGCTCAGACTGTCTGTAGCGGTAAAGGGTGTTGCGGATTGTTTGTGTGTGCCGTTTGGCCCCCCAGCATCTCTCTGGACCCCTGCTCGCCCCGAGATTGAACCCGCAGTGACTATCAATCTTCAATGCAGGGTACAGAGCACGGTCATTCGCTGCAGGGAGACGAGAGGGAGGATCCAGCCGAATCCAGATCGTCCTGTCGCGGGAGAGGGAGGGTAGCAGACGGGATGGGACTGTACCCTTGCTGGGAACAATGAGAGATTTCCACACAATTGGGATTCTTCTGCTTCAGATGTCAGTTTCGGTCTGAGTCTCCAAGGACTGGACTGACATCATGGGCCATTGAAGCTTCAAATTGCCCAGACGAACAGCGAGCGTCCAGACCTTTGCAATTAAGCGTTCAACGGTCACGCTCCAAGTCTTGCAAGCTTGAATGAGTCACGGAACGAATTCCATTGTTTCTTCTGGCAAGAAACCCTGGCAAGGGGCGCGGGATAATTAGACTTCTCAATTCGCCAGCCAGGAAAGGGATAAATCAAGGGAGGGATGGGTGGAACCAAACTCCTCTCCCCGATCAGGGGGATGAAATCGGATCCATCATTCAGACGATTTCCCGTGATTTCCGACGATCCTGTCTGATGAACAGGGGTTTGGCTGAATTACTCAAGGTCAAAGCTTCAATGCAGTCATGTGAGGGCAATGCCAGCGAGAGGGAGAGAGGGGAAGAAGTCAACCAGACCCTGGATGTGATGTGTCTAGTATAGGAGATATCATGTGATATACCACCTCCCTTCCACTTCAGTACTACAGTACTGCTTACCATCCTCACATCTTGACTACCATATACAATCAACATCCCTGCTTGACCATCACATCAACTAACCTCTAACCTCAGACCTCAGAACTCCAGACTCACGAATCAACCATCTCCCAACAGAGGAACTGACGAAAGACAACCTCACCACCACCCCAACTACCGCCCCCAACCCAACACCAATCCCCAAACACCAAAAAGACCTATCACTTTCCCCTCCCTCCTCCCTCCTCCCTGATGCCAATCTCCACACCACAGAGCCCACCGGTACGACTTACACTTCTGACACCTCCAACAGCAAGCCGGCCGGCCGCAATGCATCAAACCCCCTCCCCTCCCCTCCGCCTTTCCCTCCCTCCTCCGTTGTACGTACGGTAATTAGCAGCCCTGCGAAAGCCATGCAATATAACGTTAGCTACCCTCCGCCTATCGTGGAATTCCCACCCACTCACCGGCCATTGCCTCGAACTTTCATGACGCCGAATGGCGTCATGGCAATCACTGATTGATTTGTATTGTGGGACGCAGGCCCACGCGCATTGAATCCCCGGATTACGTGGGGACAGAAATCCGGATTATCGTGCAGGGTGCAGAGGATTATTACGAGCCCACCCCGGGTTTGGGGTGTGTTGGTTGGAGGGTTGTTCGTGCAGGGTGGAGAGGGTCTGTTCGCGCTCTGCGTGCGGTGCATGCATTTGGGGTAGAAGCTCCTACAGATTTATGGGTTAAACAAACGGTTGGAAGGTTGGGTTGGGTTGCCTTGTGCCTTGATGGTTTAGGCATGTACTGTATACATGACTCATGGTATGTCCGTGAGTATAGAAAGATGAAGACTACCGAGTATAAATTGGCTGCAAGGAAAAAAAAAAANGAAAGAGATCTGTCTATTCCATTCATCATACTATGTACGATCGAACTCTTGTAGAAAAGGTCGCCCACCACCCTCCGGGCATCGTGGCTGCTGCAAACAGACAGACCACGCCTCGTGAGGGCTTATCGATGGAGAGCAGTTGGATGCTTCTTTTACAGCCTTACCTGTTGTTTAGGAAACGAGAGAGGCAGTTAAGTGCTCATCTCTCTGACTGGCTTAAGAATGACAATAAACAAAGTTTGCACCGCTACTTCCCCGAGGCGCCTGGTCCTGGCGGGGTCCGAAAGCCGCCGGCGCGTCCTCTCGTCGCCGAGAAAAGCCAGACTTCGTTCCCCTCTGGTGTCAGGCAAGAATAATGTGTTTGTGAAGGCTGCAAGACTGCGCCAAAGTCGATCNGGATACCGGAATGGT